ATTTACTTAAAATAAGAATGGAAAACGAATTTTTAAATATAGCTTATTCCACCAATACTTACAAAAATACTTTTATAGCTAAGTATAGACACATAGCTATTTTTTTTAACTTCGTAAATTTAATCTTTACAAGTTTAATTATTATTTAAATAGATACGCAATTAACTAGATACCTACACTCAAACAATGGTAGGCAAGTACACAACATATGTACAATTAGTTACCGTTTCAACTACCCACTCAAATGAATAAGACGATTTTTTTGTTTTATTTTTTTGTTTTTTTCCAATTTTTAGTTCATATCTATGTGGTGTAAAAATGGATTACAATTATCGTTTTCTATAAGGTCATTCTAGGCCTAATTTTTTTACCCTATTTTCTTTTTAACCGACGAAAAAAAAAGATTGTTCTCAAATCTGTTGACGTGCATTTTTTTTACAGATCATAAGATGTTGATAATTCTTTTCATCGATTAGTTATATTTTAAAGTTGATCCAGTACATATAACTATTTATTCTTATTACTTATTGTTCATAGAATTATGTATTAAATTTTTTAACCTAATTCGTTGATTTAAAAAAAATAGGATTAAAAAATGGGAAATTTATAATAATGGTTCACAGTGCAAAATCAGTAGGCATAAGAGTGTTTTATGTGACTCCTTTTTGTTGGAATTTGGCACACGTACATATGTTTTTCGTCTAACAAGATGACCTTTTTTTTTTTCCGTGCGGAAATCCCCTCGGATACCACCTGGCATGTCGGACTCGAACCGACTAAAACCGCACGCCTTCGCCGGGTACTAATAGCCGGGGAACCAGGTATACCCTAGAAAGGAAGTCCCTGGTGCCTCGTACACCACACCTCGGGTCATCTACAGACGAGTAGACGACCCCTCCCCCGTGTGGGAACCCCATGTTCCCTGTGCTCCCTGGAAGCGAGCGCGCTTCGCAACGCGCTCGCCGCCACCCCGGCCTGCTTCTGCTAGGGTGACAGATGGCCTCACCTGTCACCCCCAGTCCTGCGCTTATGGAGGACGGAGGTCGTTCTGCGACCTCCGGCGCCTGAGTCGCCTACGCTGCCTAGCCCGTGCCCGGGCCTGGCGGGCCGGGAGAGTTCTAAACCTCTCCCGGTCCCGCTCCGCCGTCTCCTTCGCGAGCATAACTTGCTCGCAGAAGGAGACGGCAGAGTTCCACGCACTCTCGCTCCGCACGATAGCCGCAATCAGACTATCGAGCGAGAGAACTCCCACTCCGATGGCCGCCACAAGGTCTCGCCTCTGCTCAACCCACGCCGGGCACTCTGCCAGCGTGTGGAGAGCCGTGTCCACGGTCTGGCCATCGCAGTGGTGGCACTCAGGCGTTGGCTCCTTGCGGATCAGACACAGGTGATCTCCGAAACATCCCTTCCCAGTGATCACCTGCGTCAATCGGTATGAGAGGGTCCCGTGACGCCTCTCGAGCCAATCCTCCATAACGGGTCTTACCGCCGCAATCACGGCGTGCCCGTCTAACAAGATGACCTGTAGTTGAACTGATGATATAGATCGGAAATAGTCGAATGACCTCTTCAACAGTTTACAGTAGCTACCTCGTGTTTGAGCTTATTTATTGTTTTGCAAAACCAATAAGAACTTTACAGTCAATAAAATATTGTTTCAATGTAATAATACTTAGTTATGTATATCGCGTTGATTAACAATTATTTACGCATTCAGGTAACGAGTTTATTTCTTCATATTGTTTTTCAATTTACATTTCTTTTTCAAAGACATCGGTTAAATTTCTATTACCATTTACTGCCACGATTAGATTTTTCCTAAATTGCCCTTATTTGTCACAATAATTAAAAAGTAGGTACCATGACTTGAAGGTAGCAAGGGAATCTGAGGTAATAGTTGGAGTGATGCGAAATAAACAGATTCGACTGGTCTACTTGGAGCTACAGAGATGAATTGCGTTTCTTAATTTAATTAGCTTAATGTTTTGATGAGTAAAATTTAATACTTCTGTTTTAATATTTTGTTATGACAATAATTAATCAAAGTTATTATCTATTATATTATGTATCACGATAGTCTGAAGATTTTCAATTAGTTTTACACAGTGGATGTATAATTCTAATCATAAATAAAGACGGTCCTTTGGGGTTTTGAGACTCATGTTGCTCACACCTTTAAAGGTATTTGAGTTACGGTATACCGTGTACCGTACGAGTTACTACGAGTATAGGTCTTTTTTGGTCATTTACGTCCAGAAAACGACGAAGAATTGCCCCAAAAGCAGCTTGGACTGAAGACCTACTTACTCAATGTATAGGAGGTATAACAAAAAGAAACGCAACGGAAACATAGCATTATGTATACCTATATATATGAAATTTGAAACTAAATAGCTAAATCATTGTTATTTCGAGTAATTTTAAAGTTCCTGAAGATGTCACTATAAAATTTAAACCGATTTTCCTTAAATTAACAGCATTATCCGGGTTTTACCACCAATTGAATCTGAAAGAAATTTGAAACTGAACAGCTGAATCATTGTTATTTTGGGTAATTTTTAAGGAAAGATTTCACTAAACAATTTTTAAGGATTTTCCTAAGTTAACGGCCTTCCCCCGGGTTTCACCGCCAATTGAATCAACATAGTCAAGTATGTGTGTTTTATAATGATTGACAAAAACTCCAATAAAGAATAGCTCAACGGCAAAAAGCCTCTCATTGAAATTGAATTGATCAGACATGAAAAATAATTATTGCTTTGAATGGTTTAGGAGGCAAAATGGCAGACGTGTTATCTGATGGTAAGTGACTACTTATGTCGATGGATATCTGAAATTTGAGACACAAGTGCATTACCACTCTTGAGTGATTGAAAATTGATCTCCCACATCTAAGAAAATAACGAAATTTAAAAGACTTACCTATGATCAATCTTACGCGCTGGATAATCCAGCACATCGTCATTTTTCAGTGATAATTGCAACTTCCATTAAACATAATTGCATTGTTCTGAACCCAAAACGTTTTTATTACCCACTCTAATACCTAGATCCGCCAATCATTGCAAGTCAACAGTAGTGTTCTTGACCGATTGAATGATACCTACGCCGAAAACAAATAAATATTGTCCAATAAACTTTTTGAACTTTGTTATGTATATGAATAAATATTAGGCAAAACTAAAAAAATTCTCAATTTCCGGCAATACATTGTCCTTAGTATAAAACGCCTACAGGCCAGATGGTGACGATCTGCGCAAGATGGCTGGCAGGAACTAGACGCGAGAAGCCGAAAATCGATCTTGTATTCTTTCGAATATTATAATAATTTAATGAAACATAACGGAAAGTAAGTATAACCTCTCAAATAAAAAAATAGAAATTTCCAAATGGGTTCATAAAATAATGGAATTCTGACAACAAACAACTGATTCAACAAATATAAAAAAAACGTCACGTTGCTTGATTAACTTCAATCAGTCATGAGATCAAAAATATTTGCCTCAATAAAGTTGAAAAAATACATTGATACATTAGGCCACCTTTAACGATTTCCCATAGCAAACCGTTGAGACATCCGTGTAGGTAATTCGATGAAAATTCAATACCGTAATCCGTATTGTATTCTACATTCAAAATATAACAAGAAGCTATAAACAATGTTTTAAGTGAGTAAGGCCGGTCTTTGCTTTACTTATGGCCATATTTAAGGTTTCCATTTTGCATTAAACTGCGACCGATTATTTTAAAATTATTACTTCTAGTTGCTTTGATGTCAATTCATTGTCTGACAATTTGGAGGAATGTACCCACCTATTTATTTGTATTATTTTTTCATACTATTTTTGGAGAATTCATCCAGATATGGCTTTTGACCTGAGAGGGCGGGGGCAAAATTTATATTTGTCGGTCCAGGTAAGCCAAAAAAATTGAGTTAAAATTACTGTTATAATCTTAACATTCAGCAAAAGTACCGTTATCCTCCTCCGAAGCTCCCCCTTTATCTATAAAAGTCCAATCTTATATCCTCCGTGAACTCCGGACCTGCAAGTTGCCCATACTTGCCCTTGTGTACCTATAAGATTACAAGAGAAACTTACATACAGCGGATGACTCGCAGAGTTATGTACCCGTCAATGTTATTAACTTGTATTCCTCAATTTCTTATCACTAACATAGCCTTTTAACATATTGGCAATAACGCAATTCATAGAAACAAGATGAGATTTAGTGTTCAATTTCGTAACAGTAAGCTCTTCTAAATGACACGTACATTTTACAAAAACAGATAAAATAAGCTTGCACTTCTAATCAAATTATCATAATCGCACTGATGTTGAAATCGAATACATAATATAAAATATTACGTAGTTATCTTACTAACTTCAACGTGATTCGTAAGCATATACGGATTCTTAGAGATTCCGGCTCACCACTGAGAATTTACCGCATATCGACACGATCGAAGTTTATTTTTTCTATGATGTTATTTATTACATTTTCTCACGGGTACAACGGCAGAATGGCGATTCATCTGATTATACAAATGGAAGACGTGATTTAAGACCTTGTGAACAAAACATTGAGTAAGGTTAAATAAACAAAGTCCTTTATATGGAAGCTAACCTACCTTTTTGTAATATTATTCCTGCGAATACCATATGACCTGGTATTGTTTAAATACAAGACAAAAGCGAAAAGTTTACAACTATGTGCGCTAATAACTCATTTTTTGCTGTTCATTCATCCAATATGTCTCACAGTAGTTACATAAGAAAACAAAGTTCACGGTCAACGAGCTACATCGTCGGTCATTTTCACTAGATCACCAGGCTCTCGATAAACAAGGCGTGTCTAGATTCTTAACTCGGAGGCTGCATCCGGGCCACAGCAGGGATCAAGTTACTTTGGGGCGCGCGAATGTCAAGGAACCCTAGTGTAGTGAGTAGCGCCGAGGGTCCGCGCGTCCGCGTCGGGCTCAGGCGTCAGTCGCAGCCGATATGTCTGCGTGTGCGGCTGCTTCTCGGGTGACCACTGTCACAGTTTGCGCGCTATTCGTGGTCAGACACATCGTCAGTAAGTATTACTAGACACTAAATTAATAAAGACCTGTATAAACCGTTCACAAAAACTGAAATTTTATATTTGATCTCGTGGGAAATAACAGTATATGATACAAAACAATCTTTTGTTTAACATTTTAATAAAAAAGCGTGCAAGCATTTTTGAAATAAGAACTTTAAAATGTTTTTAATTAAGACTTGTTATTACAACTATTTTCAGGTGTTAAAGCCGAATTCGATTGTCGCAGGGATGGTCTACACACAGATTATGACAGAGAATGCCGGGAGTACGTAAGATGCAGCGGTGGCATCGTCACCGGCCGGTACTCGTGTCCCCCGGAGCGGGTGTTCAGTGAAGCCGATACCGCGTGCGTGCCTCGCGGACGTCGCCCGTGCGCCCGACGGGAATGCGCATCCACAGATACAATGGCATATGCATCTCCGGGAACCGCTTGCCGTCAATATTACCGTTGTGAAAACGGCACATCCATAGAGCGAATTTGTCCTCCCCGTGCATGGTTTGACCTGGAGAGACAAGCGTGTACTCGAGGTGCCGGCACATGTTTTGAGCCTGTGTGCGCCGGTCTGCCTGACGGCGACTATCCTGATGCATCCCACGAATGTCAGCGTGTGCTTCAGTGCCGTGGTGGCGAGTTACGGAGCCTTAAATCATGCGATTCCAAATGTGCTCCACATTGCCCACCACCACGCATCGCTGCTGTTCCCTTACCAGTTGGTGATGCTGATTTTTGCTCGGATGAAGCCTGTTCCTCCTTATGCCGCGATACAAGTGATGGTGCTTACGCAGATCGAACAGCGGGATGCAGAGAATATTTCGTTTGCGAATCACATCGCGTAATACGTCGAGGAGTATGCGAGCCTGGCCGGTTGTTTTCTGATGGAGCCTGTGAACCGGCAGTACGCGCGATCTGTCTACCACCTGCACTTAGCCCGTGCTTCAACCGACATGATGGGACACACCGAGACTGGCGTGATTGTGCCTCGTGGTTCGAGTGTCGACGTGAACGTGTGATCTCCCGCGGTTCCTGTGCCCCAGGACTAACGTTTGACGGAAACAAATGTGTGTCGGCAAGTGAGTTTTTATGTGACGGACCGGCAATTGCTATCGAGTGTCAAGGACTGCCGAGTGGTATGTACCAAGATTTATCTTCTAACTGTACTCGGTACTTCCATTGTGAGGGGGCCCTCCGCACGACTTTAGCTTGTTCGCCGGGACGAGTATACGACGGTGCCGGATGTAAACTGGCTTCAAACTACCTTTGTCCAAGTTTGGATCGCGAATCATGCTTTAGACGTCCAGATGGTCGATACCGTGCTGCCGATACGGGATGCCGTGGGTACTACGAGTGCGTTCGTGGCGTGAAGGCGACATACGCATGCTCCGTGGATCGAGTATTCGACGGCGAAAAATGTGTTCCAGCCCGTGATGATCTATGTGTACGGGCAGATTATTCATGCGAGGGGCTAGCAGACGGTTATCACCCTGAGATCAAATCTGGATGTAGGAGGTACAATTTTTAGTATTCTATTGACCATATCTACTAATTCATGCCAATCAGTATCAAATACAGTCTCCCTGAAAGTTTTATTTTGTCTTTGGCATTAAGTTTAAAAAAATCTTATTTTTAAACTTAAAAGCTTTTAAGCTTAAAAGTTATTACCGAAAATTTTCAGATATTATCGCTCTCGTTTCTCATAAAAACAGGTAAAATGTGTAGAGTTTAACATGGATAATAAAATCCATTAAAAGCATTTCAAAAACATTGCATGATTTTTTAATTCGGTTTTGTGGATTTTCTCAATAATGGATAGCATAATTCCAATATAAAAAAAAACATATGTTCGATTCAAAATCTTTAATTTAATACGTTCCATCTGCTTTTATGAGAATCGGTGTTGATTATTTATGAAAACTGAAATGGTCATAACTTTTAAATAAAAAAGGTTTCGTAAATGCATGCTAAAGTAATTTCTTTCAGTGATTTTTTAAGTGTTCTATTTATTTGTACACCCAATATACAGTAGAAGTAATCTTTCTCCTAAAACCACAGAATACATAATAATTTTACAAAACTACCTCTACTTTTGTGCCTAAATAACGTTTCGAAAAAATCTTGGGCTAGGTACTAACTCGATAGTCTAGATTTTAGATGAAATGTCATAGCAGGGAGACAGAATGACAGTAGAGGTGTGAGTATGGAAATAGACGACGGGCCCGTTGTTCTACTGGTTAGTGACCCTGACTGCTGTATCGGAGGTCGTGGGTTCGATTCCCATCCAGGACAAATATTTGTGTGATGAGCGCGGTCATTCGTTATGTGTCTGGGTGTAATTTATCTGTAATATGTATGTATTTAAAAGTATGTTTATCAGCAGTCTGGTTATCATAGTGCAGGCTCTGCCTGTTTGGAATCAGACTAATTATAAAAGAATAATTATTATTTGAGCCCACCGTACTTGTTGCTTCATGCCGAATAGGCCCAAAATCTGGTTAGAGACAATACTATCATATATTTTTTTCAGATATTTCTATTGTGAGCGTGGGGACCGCTTGGCTACTCTCACATGCCAGGGTGAGAAGATATTCGACGGACGTACGTGCATAAACAATTCTCAACATATATGTGGAGCTCCTCCCATAGACACGGTGGAGAACGATGGCAAAAAGTGTGAGCGAGACGGGTTCTTCGTACAACAAGGTACTGACTGCAAACGGTATTATTTCTGTGTGAGCGGGACAAGAACGTTTCTCACTTGTCCTATAGGTCAGATTTTCAATGGCCAAATTTGTGTGGCAAGCACTAAATATACTTGTCCAGGATGAGACAGAAAAAGAAGTATGAAAGAGCTAACTCTCTGGTCTTCATTACACTGTCCGAAAACGAAGAAATCTGGAGAATCGTGATGTACCTGATTACCTTTATAAGGCTGTGAATTAGTTATATTTGAAAGATTGTTCGTGTGATAATACAGTGTGTATTATAGGATCACTAAAGCACTAAACCTAATAGATAGTAGTACTAATAATAGCTGGATTTACACAAGGCCGTCTAATTCCTAACTGCTGATGAGCATACTTATGTATTTCTAAATTTACACATTACACACAGATACAAAAAAAAAGATAGATCGTGCTCATCAAATTGTAATTATCCTGGGTTCGAACCCACGGCCTCTGGCCAATGGATCAATAACAACTTGACCAACAGGCATACTAATATTGCTATAATGAGTTTACGAAAAGAAATAGAAAGCCTAAATAAATAATATAAAAACTTAAGAAGTAAAGTGTATGCAAATAGTAGCTGTCATTACTCAACTATTTAATAGGTGTATATAAAAGTATTGCCTCGATAGTCGTGATTTCACATAGATTGAAATTGTAGCGATTGTGTAGAACTGTTTCTAGTAGAGTAATACTGTGAGTACGTATATTGTATAATTATTTTGAGTAGGGATATATGTACTAATATATGGTATAATAATGTTAAATACAACCCGGCAATCTCGTGCGCGACCGACCCGCGGGGTGACAGACAGTGGCGGGAGCGAGGTAGCGCGTCATTCTAGCACACGGCTACACACGAAGAGAAGTGTTTCCCTTCCCCGCTGACATTTTGAGTACCTCGTAACCGCCACCATCTGTCACCCCGCAGGACGGTCGCGCACGACGTTGATGGGCTATACCTGCCTGATACATCACAATAATACACGATTACTTCTTACATTTTATTGGCATAGAAACTTTGAAGCGACCTAAATACTTTCTATTAGTAATTACACATTGACTATATCTTACAATACCTATTACTTTACAAAACCAATAGTGAGCTCCGTGAATATAAAAATAAAATCTCTTTTTAACGACATAAAAGAATAATAAATTTTATTTATTTTTTAATATAGATATTTATCGACTTTATGTTAATACAAATGATAAGCAAGACAGTTTACAAAATTCAATATTATGTTAATACCTGTCATTAAAAATTAAATAATAATATACAATTTAGGCCCTCGGACGATTCGATGGAAATTCTTATGTTAATAAGCGGTGGCTAGAACAGGCCACATAACAAAGAATGTTGATTACAGGATATTATATTGGACGACGTTATGTATTACGACTCGTCTTTGGAAGGCCTTACAGAAATATTTTTTCAATCTAATAATATGACAAGTATTATCATATCAACATATTAATATTTAAAATAACTGTAGTTCAATCTTATTCGTAAACAACATGCATTATACGTAAATAATAATAATATATCAATACAAACTTTTTAACAATTTTGGCAATATTCGTTACTAGTACAGCAAGACATATATAAATAATTTACATATATTTACGTACCTAATAAATAAACGGTTCAAGTAAATTTTCGTTTAGTTTCCATATATTTTTATTTATAAGGCAACCCCTGACTACATTAGACAATGGGAGTTGGTGCGAACAAAAAGGAGCGGAGCCGGTGATTTTAGTTGTAGGGGATCTCATCAATGAGCCAAATAGTTATATAGTACTGTCTGTTCGGTATAGTTCTTCTTTACATACATTGTACCTCCCACTATTTCGTAGTACAGAGACTGACAAATACCTCTAAAAGTTTATACATTTTATACAACATCTGGTTACATGTCAAAGGACCTCAACAAACAGACCTAGTCGGACACACGTTACGACAGATTATCTACATTTATAAAAAAATATTAAATATTAGTTTACATTGGTCCACGCCGAAATTTTATTAATCGATTATAAATTAGTTTTATTAGCTTGGTGAGGTTACGGGCGCGACCAATCAGTACCTTCAAAGAAGGATCTTTTGTATTAAGCTTTCAAACATTTTTTAAACAATATTAAGTAGTTGCTAACTAGACATTACATATAGCACCTTAGAAAATAGCAGATAAAATTTCAGATTAAATAATAAAATTTCCACAATGTCGACAAAAGGTGCACACTATTTGTTGGTAGACATCACTATTTTAGGCAATAGAGTATAAGTAATAATATTTATTGTCAGATTCAATGAAAATTACAAACATTTTTTTTAAATTGAAACATTGACTTCACAACTGGACTTCATTCAAATACTTCTCTATAAGAATATTTAAATATTAAAAATCGAAGTAAATATAATTTGAAAATTAAACTTTAAAAATGTAAATTATCTGATACCGAATATTAATAAAATAACACGTTAGATAAGTATTGAAGTTAGAAATACAATCAGTTACACATTATTTGATAAGTTAGTGGCCTAATCAATATTGGAATCCAAATTTTTAATTATAACATATTTAAAACATTAACTTAATATTTTTGACAGAGTTAGATACTATCTATCGTAAATGTACACGTTAAAATTATGTATGTTTTGGACACTTCCCGTTAGACAAAGTTTATGACAATATAAAAATCAATATTGTGGGTCTTAACTTATAATGGGTCATCCATAAATTACGTGACATGAAATCCATTGTTTTTTCTTTTATTAAGACTGACACTCACGTCACAATATTTTTCTGTGTATTTTTTAATATTAATTATTTAGTATGTTAATTATTTAAGTTTTTAATTTATCTGCTTTTGGGAAATAATAAGTTCTGAGTGGAAATGTTCGTGTACTACAGTGAGTTTGTATTCTATAAGAAAATTACAATAAATATCGCATCATATCATGACCGTCGGACGACGGTCAGGAAGATATCGTATCTTGGTAAAGAACTCAATCAGTTTTAAATTTAATTTGACTTTTATTGTAATCAATTTTAAATCTTCCATAAATATCATCTTTTATTTTTTACTATTACATAAAGTCATGGCTTAAACCATACCTATATAGAAAAATAAGTACACAGGATAAATAATTAAAAACTATAAATGCGATGGTGAATATTTCGCTTACTCTATAGGCTCAATCTTCTGCAAATATGACAGTAAATAATTGGTGTTCATGTTTGTTCGTCTTTTATATGGTCCCAGCACATCCTAGTGTAAAACGGCACAGTAAGCAAAGACCTTTATCTAATTCGTAAAGTGTCCGATTAAGACCAGAGCTAAGGACGATACTTCATATAAAATATCGTTGAGATCCATGTCTCACACACATTTTTGTATATTAAACCCCATCTACTACAAATACCGATACAGGCCTAAGATAAGGAGAGTCTCAGTCTTACCTCACGCTTAGCGACAGAAAGCAAAACTTATGTTGGACCATCCATAACGAAAATATATTAGATACATTAAAAATTAATAATATAATGTAACGACTATAACATTGGTGCAAACAGCCCGATGACAACATTTTTTTTAAACAATTTTACGGCTCACATAACGTAGGAAGGTGTCCCAATACACGATCATTTCACCCTATAAATAAAAAATAAAAGCTTTGTTAGTATTTCGTTTTATTTCAACTTAGTCTTCTTGTGATCGACTGTATTAAAATATTATGAAAATTCCTATTTTGCCATAAAATACTTTTTAAGTACTTAAGGAAATAATCAGTAAGAATATAGTCCGGGGGTATTATTTTCACATGTGGTCATAAATAATCTAGTAAATATTTTACTTTATATTATTTTTTATGGATTTTAGGTAAGAAGGTCATTGATAAAATTTAAAAACTAGTAATATATTATGTTTAGCAAGATGTATATAGCACATGCCATCTAAGCAACTAAAATATTTAAATTAAAAAGACAATCTATTTCGCTTCGACGAGAAATAAACGGTTTAAATATATTTGCAAGTTTTCATTTCGTGACCAACCGTTTCTTTACTGAATTATATTTCTACCAAGTTTGAGAGACGAAAAGTTCGGTAAGCAGGAGCGGATTCAGCTTTTAACTCAGGATTGATAATTGTTTACGCAGGACTCAGGACAAGCCTCAGTTTGATTACCTACTTAAAATACATACGAACTAGACCAAGTCTAGTGGAGGGTTATAACCTCCAACACCTAATCCCTTCTCCCGCTTTCAATCTACTCTTGTCAGTTAGAGTTAACGAAAAAGAAGTAGGGCAGGAGCGATTACCTGGCGGCAGCTACTGGTCGCTGGGCGTGGGCTGCGGCTGCGGCGCGAGCAGCACGCCCACGTCCCACACCTTGATGACGCGGTCCTTGCCCGCCGTGCACATGCGCCCCGTCGCCTCGTCCATGTACAGCGACACCACGGCGTGCTTCATGTCGTGGAACGACGCTAGAGATTCGCGACTGAAATTCAACATACACGGTGATTTTGAAAGCGTTTTGGAAAAGAAAATTTTGAATTATTTATCAATAACAGAAGCTATATATAACGTTAATTTAATAAAATATTTATATTTTTTTTCATCAAAGTCGATATTCATATCGTTTACAGAGAAAAAGTAAGAACCTGTAGTAGGGGTATTCAATCACACGTAGTTAAATACTACAAATAGAAATACTATGAGTTTTAATATCGTATTCGCCAATGAAAACAAAGCTACCGAGTTGCGCCGGAGTCGTCCAACCAATGACGGCACTGCCCGTAGGCGCATGCGCGGTACTCATCTGTCATCGCGAGGCGTCTTTCCTTTTCAGTCGGTCAGTAATACCATAACATCGTGACGGCACGCTACATTGATTAGCGCTAAAATGAGTCGACAGTACGAATTTGCAAACGTGGAATACTTGGCAATGGTACAGCTGTACGCTACTGCCAACTACAACTTGGAAGAGGCTCGGCGTTTGTATTCCCAGCCGGAGCATTTAAATGCACTACGGCTACGTGGAATTGAAAGCCCTCAAATTCCCTCCACACCTACCATCTTGGCTGCAACCCAACGTCTTCTCGACCACGGACAATTTCGTGCGCCTACTCATGCGCAAGGTCAAGGACGTTTTAATTATTATTCGCACGAGTTTGAAGAAGATGTTTATGAGTACTTCGAGCGCGATCCCCGGCGGAGCACAAGAATGGCAGCACGAGAATTCGATGTTAGCCAAAACTTCGTATGGAAGATACTACGTACACAAGGATTACATCCGTATCATTTTCGCAAGGCTCACGTAATAAACAACACTGACGCACCGGCAAGAATCGCCTTTTGCCAGTGGTTGTTAAATAATACAAACGCCAACATACTCTGGACGGACGAGTCACTGTTTACTCGAGTGGGACTATACAATGTGCACAATGAGCATTACTGGGCTCTAATTAACCCCCACTTGATACGAGAAAACCATCACCAGGTTCGTTTCAGTGTGAACGTTTGGGCCGGTATTATTAACGACCAATTAATAGGGCCTATTTTTATTGAAGGTCATCTAACCGGCAACTCGTACTTAGAGATGTTAAGGACAGTAATATCTGAGTTAGTAGACGATGTGCCGTTAGCTTACTCGAGAGGTATGTACTACCAACACGACGGCTGTCCCGCTCATTACGCGAGTGTAGTGCGTGCATACCTGGACAATGAGTTTAGTGATCGGTGGATAGGTCGAGGAGGGCCTGTGCCTTGGCCAGCTAGAAGCCCGGACTTAACGCCCCTGGATTTTTTCCTATGGTCGGAAATAAAAAGACTTGTTTATACACGGGAATATGAAAGCCGTGATGATTTACGCATTGCGATAGTGGACGCTTTTGATAAAGTGAAAAGTGATAGGGACACGTTAAGAAAATTAAAAAACAATTGCATTAAACGTGGACGTTTGTGTATTGAACGCAGCGGACTCCATTTTGAGCAGTTGCTTCGATACAGAGAAGTGTAAATAAACTGTAAATAGGTATGTAAGTTAATTATTCTGTAGATAGCTCCGATTTTTTAAATACGCCTGAAATATTTATACCTACAGTCCGTTGATAAATTGATTTGTTGTAAAAAGAACAATCGTGGTTAATAATCGAAAAGAAGTTTAAATAAAATAGGTATTTCCGACGGTCCTAAGCCCGTGTAAAGTATGAAGGACAAATTGGAGTCTATCTACGTAAGTACTCGCTAGCTCGCGCCTATAGGTATACTTTTGTCAGCTGCTGTTAGCGTCGGCGGTGCGCAGCGGCCGCCGAAACGCCCACGGACGTGTTTCATTCATATAAGATAATGAATGAACGATCAGTCCATTACTACTTTCCAAGTCGATCGAGTAAAAATGAATATTAAAACTGAAACTTTTTTTTAGACAACATTACAATTGATTTAATCATTTTTATTGGTACTATAGATGATTCCAAATTCAAATATTTCGTTTCCAAAACGCTTTCAAAATCACCGTGTATTACTTGACCGAGTTACATCTAATCTTATAACTTAATATTCACCACACAGACATGCGTACCAGAATACGCGCTTATACTCATTATTTGTTATCGCTTTATTCTACATCTATGTATTTTTTCTTTTCATTTGAAAACTCCACGGAAAAAAGAGTGAATGTTAAAAAATTATTAGTGAGAGAAATACAACTATTTATAGTTAGAAAGTCTGAATCTCTTTAAATTTTATACCATTCTTAAGCGATATATTTTAATATTTAAATTTCTAATTGGCTCAAATAAGAATCGGAATAAAAAAAAAGTAATGAATTGTATGAAACGAAGTAAGTTAATAAATAATAAACTAAATATGACCAGATTTTTACCAGTATATAGATAAAAACATCATCATCGTCATCAAATTCCTACGATTTTGCCAAATTTCATCGATTCTCTTTGATGACTCTAACATCCTCTTTCACGTTTTTTCATTAAATGGTTTTAGCTTTTTCTTTTATGGCCGGCCGTGTATCGCCCACTCTCCTTAGGTATGTATGATGATGAGAGAAAATAAATACAGATACTCACGGCTCATGCCTTAAGGTATCGTAGCAGGCAGTGCACACCCTCTGCGGGAACTCGAAGCCCATGATGGGCAGCGGCAGGCGGTGCGGCGAGCACGTGGCGCACACGGCCGCGCCGCACCACCGGCAGTGGTGCTGCCGCAGACCTAGCGTGGGGAAAACCTCTTTAGTGCACATGCTCTGCTGGAACTCGGACACTTTCATACCGAAAACTGTCTGCACGGATGCCGTAGTGGTTTAAACGGTCGCCACGCCGCTTCCTACTACGATGAGTGTTGTGGGTTCGATACCCACATGGGACGACACTTTGTTTAATCCACAAGTTGTCGTTCTGAGTCTAGGTGTTATTTGTGTCCGTTTCATGTGTGTTTGTTAAGTTCCTAGTGCGGAAGTTGAAACAAGGAGAAAGAAAAAAAAAGATGAAAAGCCAGACAGGTCACCTCATCAGGGCTAAACGGTAAAGTATACACGGCCTACGGTGTACTCTCCTAAGAAAATTTCTGTGAGCCCTGTGAAAAACTTAGCCGTCTGGTGAATTCCGTTGTTGTATTTTTTTATGGAAATCGAATCGTGTTTCTATATTTATTGTTTTAGCTAAAATAATTTAATCTGACTCCGGTCAAGTCGATCCATATTTACCGTAGCAATTCTCTACCGGTCAATAGAATAAATATAAGAATAATTTTATGTATAAAAAAATGGAAGGCATATTAGAATAAAATATTTCACCTAGTTGTTTCTTTTCCATCATTGCCCTAACATTCCATATGAAGGGCGCGCGGCATATCTGACATAGGTCAGACTCTTTCCACGCCGGGGTCTCTCTGCGCCGAACTCCCATCTCCCATACACCGAGGGCGCCGTCTTCCCCGGCAGAAAGGAGACGCTCGCAGCTGCTCACGTACCACAAGCCTGTTACTTTGTTACTGTAAAAATGTCTTATCATCATTGAAATGTAGATTATGGATCTTTTGTCAGAAGTCTTCCAGGAAAGTTTGATCAGATATAATACAGGGTGTAAGGGACATCGTAACGAATACTGAAATAGTGTATTCAGACCATGATTCTGAATCGAACATCAATGGAATGTTCTGCCGTATTTGCACACTATTTCAGTATTCGTTACGATGTCCCTTAGACCGTATATAGTTTGAGATATTTATTTGTACATCTGTACTGCTAATACATATCAGATAAGACAGTAACTGAACTTCTAATCTTGTTGATTTTAGGTGTAAAATTGAAAAAAAAACATACAAATGGGTAGCAGGTGTGAAAATATATAAGTATATATGTTTATCAGTAAGGGAAAACTTTTTAGAAAACCGACAAATATACATTTTGTCGCCATGACCTAAAAAGTAAGCAACAGTCTGATAAAAGATCATTAATTCATTCCATTAGTCCAAATAAACAAAATTACTATATACGTCCTTAGAGGGTGATTAGTTAAAAATTCACTACGTAGTTATATTTAACTCACCTATGACCTTGTAGTTCGTACGCTGTACCCTTCTGTCCACCTATGTCCCACACTATTATTGTTTGATCAAAGGACCCACTGAACAATAGCTGGGGTAGAGGTGCCCAATTAAGTACCCTTACGGAACTGGAATAATAAAATAATGAAATTATCATTTATACAAATAAATAAAACTGAACCGTCTGTTTGTAATGTTAAAATAATATGTTGTTTTCTATGCCTAAAATCCCGTTTAAATATTTTATGTCTGTCTGTCTGTTTCTGACGGGTATCTTTACTACCAGGTAGTTGTCTATATAAGGAGTAACTTAGGATATTTTTCACATGAGACAAACCCTTTAAAATTTTGTCCGGTCCAGGAATCGAACCCGAGGCCTCTTGGATTGTAGTCGCGTACCGTACTTCACCACTTAGACAGCACTTTTGAACTTCCACGCGAACGAAGTCGCGGGTACCAGCTAGTTTGAAATAAATCTCTACGATACGATATCAATGTCCCTAATATTGATATATGAATTTTGTTACGTCACTAACCGATAAACAAGCATATAGCAGTATGATTAACATTGCAATACCAACTGACAACTGCCAGATTTAAAATCGGTCAACGCAGTAATGGACCTTACCGTGTAAGTCACGTGATAAATAATATGCCTTTATTAATTAATTTTAGTATTATTATAGGTTTTTAAAAAATGAGATTCTAGAGTTTTTGAACAACACTACTAATCACTTAGTTACAACGTAACATAAGTTAGTGGCTATAGTTAACATCCCTACCAGATTTAAAATAGAATATAGTTATATACATATGTATCATTATTATTACATTATTACATATGTATTATTATCATTTAAAGAGGGGAAAAGTTGGTGTTTATCATTTATGTTTTAATAGGCAAACTACTACTCATTTAAAACTGTATGAAAGTAGGTTGAGAAAAACACACCCACCCTATTCAGAACGGTTAACCAACGCTATTAGTATGATAGTAGGATAGTAGTGTATGGGGGTAATAGGACTGACAAAACGCGAACGATGGCATCAATGTTCTAATTGATTACTCGTGCCGGTAACTACGGTAGGTGGGCCGTGAGTTTATTTGTCGATTGCCGTTCAATTTTATTGTTTCAAACTCATCCTTGATAAGCGGATATCTCATAGTTTCTTCTAAAATTAAATATAAAAACTTCTTAGTTTTATAACAATATTATTCAATACATTTAGGTTAAATAATTATCTCCATTACACCAGTGTACAAAACTCGTATGAGTTTGTCTGCTCATTATTACAACAGGTTTTATGTTCATACACATGATTCTGAAGCGAACAATTAATTACGTTCAAGTTTCAAGGTAATTGGGGTATGTTTATCATTGCTGTTATTTTAGCTAATCGCTGTGTTGTTTTTTAATTAATTAACATGACAACAATTTCTTGAACAATTTCTTGTTTACGAAATAATAATATAGTAGACGCTAGAGATTAATACTGTTAAACGACTGAAAATACTAAAAAGGACACGGCCTTGTAGCTGGCGACGCATCGCAGCACGGCATACGTCGTCACGTTATGTGATGGTGTATGTAACATGCAATATGGTGTGGCGACGCCTCGCCAAGCGTAAGTGACAACAAAATAATTTCAATACTTCACATCTGCCAGACGTCCTCCGAATTTCTTTCAGAGTCAAAATGGGAACTTTCCCAATCGGTTGACTTCAATTCAATCAGCACTACATAGTGCTCGTCAGTGTCATTAACTAGGAAACACTTATTGCTTTTACACATAGAAACACGGTGGTTTATAGTCTGTGACGAAACAACAGTGACATCCTTTAAGCCGTGTTGCTGCTGATAGTCATTTAGCTCAAGGTAATTATAAAGAGAATACTACATATTTTAACTTCTATTTTACAACTCAATTAGCAAACCAAGCCGCTTAGCGATGGGTGGTTTCCTTCCGGTGTTATAAAAAACTTGTTGTTTCATTCGACCGCTCTGTTTCAGCTTCCATGAAGCTTTTGCTAGTCTACGCCCTATCAGAACACGACATCCCTCTTGGTATTTATTACTATTATTTATAATCGAGCTAACCGCATGTTATCTTTCGTGCTCCGGAATGTAAAACCTTTTAGGCAAATCAGTTTACTGAGGAATTTATACATAAATTACACCCAGACACAGAACAAATCACCGTGCTCATCACACAATATTTGTCCTGGTTGGGAATCGCACCCATTGACCTTCGGCTTAGCAGCCAGGTTCACTAACTACTAGACAAACAGGCCCGTCGGAACTTTAATTTGGGCAGGTATAGATTTATATCCAAACAGCCTAATTAACTTAAAGGTATACCACAGGTAATCCTAATGCGCATTTGGTAATTTCGATTGACCTAAAAAGATTGACAGCCAAGAACAGGTGTTGTAGTTTACTCTGTAGTTTGTATGGGAAAAGGAAACTGTAGTTTTTAACAAATTTTTTCTCTCCATAAAAACCTTCCGTGTACAAATATGACAAAAAATAGCCGATATGGTCGAGCAGTTCTCGAGTTTTGCGCTTAGCGCTTAGATTATAATAATTATTAAACACAGTCACTGTAATAAAATTAATAATAAACTATCATAGACAACACTGAAACAGCCATTGGCCTAAAAGATCTGTAAGATGTTTTGTTTAAAGCTACTACAGGCGCACGGCCACGCAGACCGCTACCCTATTCTTAAATATTGAAGTAGGACGAATGGCGTAGTGGTTTAAGCGGTCGCCACGCCGCTTCCTACTACGCTGAGTGTTGTGGGTTCGATCGCCACATGGGACGATACTTTTTGTGAGCCACAAATTATTGTTCTGAGTCTGGGTGTTCTATGTCTCCGTTTCATGTGTTTGTAAAATACCCCGCGACACGAGATTCCTAATGCGGGAGATGTCTTTAAAAAAAAAGTATAAATTCCATTTAATCATCCACCCTTTCACTTACCCGGTATGTCCTTTCAACGTAGTGACCAGCGTAGCGCTATTGTTATCTAGCTTAAGCATAGTTATCTGGCCACTGTAGTCACCCACGAATGCATACTTCGATTGCGAGTCAAATCTGTTTCGACATTCAGGAAACTGGTTTTTGATAAATTTACTTATCTCTAATTGAACTTCTCCAATTGTGAATGACATATTACTACAACGTTAGAAAAAGCTAGTGGTTTGGTCTTTTAATTTGATTGATGGAATTCGCGTATTTAATATATTAATAATCGGTTGTATAAAAAATGAAACTAAAACTTTTTCTAAACTGATTTTACTTTTAAAACATCGGTCAGTCTGACAGTGGACCTTTGAAGACTCATATAACATAGCGTCTACCTTGCATCTATTGCTATTCATTTGCTTATTTCATACGACTTGCGTTTTTAAACATATTAATTAATAGCAAATTTATTTTATAAACTATATTACTGCTAAAAGAGTAATAAACATACTAATTCCCTACTTATTGCAGTTAAAAGTGTAGTTTAGAATGTAAAAGTATAATATGGTAGGTACACTAACCATCCTTGTCTACGATGTTATATTTTTATTATTGTATAAAATGACTATTATAAAAGGATACTGCAATGAGGTGCACCAAGCTTCGAAGGAGTACCCGCCGATTCTCCGGCCGGTCTCACTGCAGTGATACGCGAAGAATTTATCTCGACTCACAGATAGTACCCACTCGCAACTGAGCGAGAAGACCACAGCAGTGACGCGTGCCGTGTGTGCTAAGTACTCTCGGACCTAAAGAAAAGAAATTTAAATTTCATGTGAGGCGCAATTTACATAAATGGTTTTGACATGTTTTATCAAAACCATTTATGTAAATTGAAATACTCGTTACATTCCAATACCTTAATTGGCAAAACAAGGCAACTCCACTTTACGTCAAAACAAACACTTAACTCTAAAAATTGAGGTGTAAAGTTTTTGTAAATTATCAGTGCAGTGTTAGATGACTTTATTATCAAAGGAGAGCCATGGGAAGGGTTGAGCGGAGCCGGATCCAACAGCCAAAAGCCTAAGAAAACCGGTTAAGCAATTCTTTCATAGCTTTCACCGAGTGAGTGAAGTTTCCAGATCCCTACCTCCCCTCTCTGGGATTTTGGAGGGGTGTACTTAAGTTGTAGGTGTCCCTGTACTGCAGAAGTTACCTAACATCAGGTGATCTGTCTGTTTGTTTGCTATAGAGTGGTACTGATAAGTAAAGAGACGTCTATGCCATAAAAATGCCAATGATTTACATAAAATTATTTCTATAAGTAGTCTACACAAAAAATAAAGTCATGTGTCCTAAAAAAATACTGAAAGAGAATAAGCAGAATTGTTAATTAAGGTATTGATTTATGATAAGATACACATATGTGTGATATGAACTGTCATTGGTAATGTTACATTAAAATTGTTTCTATATGAAATGTATGGTAAAGATAAGGATAGCCATAAACAATTTCTATAAAAGAATTTCATGTTGTTTACACAGAATAAAAATAACATAAGTAAGTAGTAAGTATATATCATACATTGTGTACTGTTTATTTGTTTATTTATTTACTATTAGCTGAAAAATATTAACAATAAAAGCAGTTATGAAACTTCCAGAAAAATTGGTTGTATTGGTTAAACAATATCAGTCATATCTGCAAATACAAAACTTTCTGAAATACTTACAGGATTTATTCTGTTACAGTCATGTGCCAATATGAACTCGGAAACTGTGCCATTCTCTTGACCAATAAACAACTGTCTTGTCTCTGGTGTATAGAACATTGAAGTGCAGCCAGAAGGCATGTACTGGCAGATTGACGGCCAATACTGTCCTGAATCGCGCTTCAGCCATACTCGAATTGTCCTAAATTTCAATAATGGTTTATTAATTAGGATCTAAAACGAAGGATATACACAAGTGCAAACAATAATTAATTAAAGGGGTAGGTTAGGTAGGGGTATTAAGTTGGTGTACTCCTTCACTAACATGAGACCTCAGCAAGCATGATCAAGAAAATAACATCACCCAAGTTTAGACTTTATGTATGCTTATACATATATTTTTGTGGAAAGCCATGCTTTAGCAGATAAGCACTAACTGAATCTGATTCATACCACATGCAAATGGTTTTAAGTATTTCTTTCATTACTTTCATAATGATTGAGATTAATAGAGGGCCAAACCACACCATCCCCCCTTATTCCAGGGGATTGGAACTCAAAACTCTCGAGTGGCAGGTGTCTAGGGGTAGCAGTAGTCATTTACCACTGGGTGACAAGTCTGCCTGTTTGACCATAAACATTGTCTTGAGTCTAAAAACCATATTGTACAACAGGGTGGTCTCACTAACGAGGGACTCTAACTACTGAGCCAAGACGAATATTGGGAATTTGCTTGTCAGATATTATCATCATTATCATCAACAGCTCTAAATAGTCCACTGATGGACATGGAGGCTTTTCCTCATATTGGAGGTGTTGGCCTACTGCCCTAAACCCTGTGCCTACCAGCTAGCCAGACAAGTTGGTTTAGGGTTTGTTTCAAGATTTCCTTCTCTTTGCAGTATTATTGTCCTGCCCCTTAGTTTGCTTCCTTAGTTGGCTCTTACAACATCCACGGCACAAATGGGGGTGTTGACACTTGTCAGATACATGTTTGAAAATATATATATATATATATATAGATGTTGCTCTATTTCTATATACATATAACTTTAATAAATTAAAATAAATGTTGAAATACTAATATCTAACAAATAAACTAACTAAATCATACATTTGCAGATATTGAAAACTAGCCATTTTCTGCAGTTTGCTCCTGCATTTATGGTCACTTTTCTGCTGCCAAGACTAGTAGTACAATGTTTTATAGCAAACATTATCCCTCAAGAAATAGTAATTTCAATTCAATAATAAGATTGCAATCAGACTGATAATTGAAATGAATGAAAGTACTAACAACCCTCAAAAGCAATAACTTTAGAAAAAGACTAGGAGTGCTTTTAAAACAAGCAGAGATTTTAAAGAAAATTAAAATCATGGTTTTTCAATTTTAAATTTGGTTTAGTTATCTGAGGTAACTAACAATAGATTTGTGTCTCACAGTCTTGAATTTGGTAAAACATGGCAAATACAGTCTTAAATGTGGTAAAACATGGATAATACAGAGTCTTTAATGTGGTTACAGAGACACCTATTATAGATATAAAAGATTTTGATATGCATAGATAGTAAATAATGTAGTACTAAGTGCAGGATCATGCCTTAGAGATAGACACTTTGCAAATAGTATTAAGTGCAGGTCTGTATTCAACAAGTAAGTAAATTTAAAAAAAAGATAAACCTACAAGGTAGACAACATCCATTGTAAGGAACTGCAAATAAATAATTCATCTGTATTCTCCTTAAAGACAAACAAATAAGAGTAATACATATGAAAAAAATAATCCCATATGTGTTTGTAGTTGGTAATCGTGCGTGTAAAAGGTGGTGATATCAGACTTGTTGACAGTTTGTTGAGGGTATATTTAGTTAAAAATTTAGAGACAGCGGATACATTTTAGTAGTCTGTTATCAATTAATGGCTGAAATATGAAACAAAAGTCTTACTTATCATCACAAACACTAATTACACCGTCCTCGCCAGGTATAACGACCGCTGCGTTTACATCGTCGGTGCAACCTTCCAATTTGCTTAATAGAGCGGGTTTCTTTGTAGTACAAAACCTATCATTGGGAGTCCTCGGTGCGGGCTTGATTTCAGCAGCCATATTTCAGTTCTTATACACCAGTAATTCTAAATAAACACGATTATTCGACACTAATTCTTTCAGCGAAAAGAAAAACGTCATAATAATTTTGACATTTCGGTTTGGTGTTCCATTACTAAAATTTTATTCTGGTAATAAGTGTACAAATACTAACAAAAATATCATTTTAATACAAAGTATCTCTTCTGATTATTTAGATTGTACACTTAAATGATTATTTTTAGTGACTTTTGTATTTATTTTGTGTTTACTTGTAAGTACTTGTAACTAATATTATTTTATCAAATATTAATATATTTATATTAAAACTGTGTTGTCTCAACCTTTTTTATTTGCATTCCAAAGGTGGGAGAATTTTTAGCTAATTCAATACGAGGTTTGCTGGTCAAGGTCCGAGACCCCCTAAACTTGGGGGCCCCGGTGCGCAGCACCACCTAGCCTTACGGTTTAGGTGGTTTGTAGGTATAGGCACATAAATAGCTAAAAATAACACTAGATTTCAGTATACAATCGAAATTATAAAATTATATCTGAGTTTCTGAGCTGAGTGAAACAAGGGCCGTAACCGAACGGTTCGACTACGGCTTGTTTCGGTCGGACACTAGTTATTTTAATGATTCATATTAAAAGTCATAGTTTTATATAAGGGTTTTATTGGGTTAATTTGATTACAAGCCTTAATCTAAATAAATATAGAACACGTCTAAATAGTGTGTCCGAATAATATTTACACTAAATAAAATAGACTTCAACCAATGATCGAAACTTGCACCACATTGTTTAGGTTTAAAAAAGCAATCGCTTCTGACAGATGTTAAACATCGAAATTATTTCATTGAAAATGAGTTGATAAGGATACCTTATGAAAGTAAATAATAAATATAGCACAATTAAAAATAAAATTGCGCATGGCAACTCGTCGCGACACCTTATTACATGTTTTAAATACTATAACATATCGTGGCTACGCGTCGCCGGTCTATTCCTCCGCATTACACGTTTTACATTTAAAGTATCATTGAATAAAAGTAATATCAATTTTTTAAACAATTATTCACTATTGTAGTATCTATTAAGAGATTATGTCTTCATTAGCGACCTTAAATTCATTCTGAAAACACTATACTGGAAGCGCTCGGGAATCAGCATGATAACAAAAAGAAACCATGGCCGCTCTGTTTCCAGAGCGTTTCAAGAATGACTCTAAGATCGCGAGGGAATTGCCATTAAAACTCGCGAAGTAGAAGCGTTTAAATAATTTAAAGTATCTGTATTTTTGAAGTGGCGTCATAAGTCCTAAATCTTTGCCAATTTGCATGAAGGTGAACATTTCTATTTCATTTGTGATCTTATTAGATTTATCTGTGTTCTTTGTGCTTAAGTCGATTTTAAGTAGTAATTATACGAAATTAAACCAATGCATAAAAACCTCCTTTCTAGGGAGAGGCCTATGCCCAGCAGTGGACTATTAAGGCTCTTGATGTGAAACCAATGCATGTATACCATCATCAATCATTATCAACAGCCTTTAGTATTCCACTGGCTAAACATAGGACTTGTCCTTAGAAAGAAATAAAAGTCAGTTGGAGTTATAAAAGTGAAATAATATAATATATATAGATATCTATATAAAAATAAAATAAAATAAAATACTAAAATAGAAAGATTTGCGACAAAATGCGAAAAATAGAAAGAAACCTGATTTAAAAAAAAATATATCCTAGACCTAAATTAAAAAATTTAATATTACTACTAATTAATTTCAAGGGTTAACAAAAATATGCGGACTAGTTTTTTTAGTATTAAATAGGGCCTTACAGAAAACCGGTTTTAAGTAAATTCATTAGTTGTTTTTGACCGAATGAGTAAAGTTACTGGAGCCCAACTCCTCGTCCTCTCTGAATATGAGGGGAGGACTCAGAGAGCAGTACGCACCTGGCACTCTTGAGTTACAGGTGTCTAAGCACGGCGGTAGTCACTTACCAAAAAAAAGCATTTCTATAATGTTAAAATTGATAAATAAACAAGTCTATTAAAAATAGATCCAGGACGTATTGTTGTTGTTTTCTAAAATATTGTTAGGATCTATCAGTGTTTTAAGGGAAGAAAAAATTGAACATAATTTGCGGTACATTATTATTTGGGATTAGACATGTCATAGATGTAACAAAATACATTACTCAACATCCCTTATCAGTGACCTATTATGTTATGTTCACTGATTACTTCGTCCTTGTACGTTCTGAATGACAACTTAATCCGTACAAAGAAGTGTTAATACTATACATACTCAAGCACATCTATTGATTGATATAAAAAGTAGGCACCCGATGTTCTTTGACGGTAATTTTTTAACAAATAATTATGTTTGCTTTTGGATTCTGTTGCTTTGATGTTTGAATTTTTAAATCATTAAGTAGAGAAAATGATATCGAACAAGTGGCCGCTGCCAGAATTTATGACAATACGGTCCCGATTTATGGCGTCTTCCATCACTTTTGCCAAAACTTCCGGCGATAAGTTCCCGCATTTCTGACGGAAATTCTTTTGACCTTTCGAACCTCACAAAAAGAAATCTGAAACGGTTAAATCGGGTGCTCTTGCCGGCCAGTGCAAATCATCAAAACGAGAGATTAGGTGACCAGGAAGACTTCAGAATTTCGGTTGTGGGAAAATCGTTGAGCATGGCTCTGTAGCGCTCACTGTTCACAGTAGTCATTTGGCCCATTTTTGAAAAGACAACGCCCGATGACACCTCTAGTGTAAACACCACACAATACAGTAACTGTGAGTGAGTGTAATAGTGCCATACTCTTCTAGGCGAGCAGCTAAACGTCGTATTGTTTGCCCAGTTGGCGTCGGACGGCAGCGAAATCTACCTCTAAATGCTACGCCAACACCACCGACGAATTATTACGTAAGAATATCGAAACAATTATTTCGCGTTCTTGAGGAGTGAAGCGATATACGACTTATTGACGTGTATTTTGAATCTTTTTACTTTACAATTGTCAAAGCAGAACTGAGATTTACGGAAATTTGCAAAAATTATAGTATAAAATTATCTTACGATATATATATAACTTTTGCACCACCTAGTATTTACTGATTGAGAAAAATCATCTTCTTTGTGGCCCGTTCCAATACCTCGAGGCCCGTTCCAATAACTAGACTTTCAAGGAAAAGACATGGCGTCTTCTCTTTTTATACCTGCTTGCCATCACCTCTGTATTCAGTTTTTTCTAGTCCATATTTTCTACGAATTTTTTTAATAGTTGAATTGTCCTTTTAACACTAGCGGGAGTTTTCGTCTGTGAGGCTAGGGTCATGATCATGGTATTATTTACTGATAACTCATCTTATTCCTCCTTATCCTATTGCATTTTGTTTAATCAATAGACTGAGGAGCTTTGGTTGTCCGAGGCCATGAAAACAGGCCAGATATTACCGTTTACCATGACCCATAACGCAATTAATCAGAAGAAAATTGGAAGAGTTGGAAATATCATAAATCCACTCCTCAAATATAATAAATCCTTAGCAAAGCGGAGAACTAAATCAAGTAAAAATTAGACGTACACCGCCGGCGCCGGCGCGGCGCGAAAGCTTCTTAGCCCGTCACACTGCCAACGACCTTCGTGTCAGATGGCCTCACCTGACACCCAGACCTGCGCCTTATGGAGGACGGAGGTCGTTCATTGGCCTCCAGCGCGCCTTAGCCGCCTGCCGTAAATGGCTCGTTCCCGGGCCTGGCGGAACAGGAGAGTTCTAAACCTCTCGCGGTTCCAGCATAACTGTCGCTCCGTACCATGGCCGCAATCATGGTATCATGCGAGAGAATTACCCTTAACCTCCTCGAGGGATGGTTTACTCGATAAATTTAGATCCCCAAGACATAAATTGTCAGGAAATAAGATGTATAGCCGAAGTATGAAGGACCAGAGCCTAAAACACATCAGAGTTATTTATATACCTTCCAATAAAAAAATAACCGATGCTACAAACGAGGTTGTTTCTTAAATTATTTCATTATTTACTGGCTAGATTTACAGAAGATCTTTTTGAGAACATTGGCGTGAAATTAATAAACAACTGTCACTAAGTTGGAAATGTCCATCAGCTTGTGTTATTTTATTTAAAATCATAGCCAGTTCTTAACAAAAAATACTATGGAGTTTACTATTATGTAATAGTTAAAAATAATGAATTAAGTAGGCTCATCATACAATTCTTGTCATAATCCTGTTTCCTTTCTGCCAATGTAAATCTTACGTTCCTCTGCTGTAAGTATGTGATGATGAAAAACTTATAATAGCTTAATTACTAATAATTTTTATTTGTTTTATTACTTTACATTTTTTAATATTGTGATTCTTTTAGTCATACTAATACAACTTATACAATCATAGACTCAAACTGTTACTTTTTTCTATGTCATTCAGCTATAACTAGCTCATATTATACAGTACCCACATAATATTGGCTAATTACAGCGGAGTGTGCTAGTTACACACACATAGCGTCATTAATATCGGACGAGTACTAAGTATTTCCAAAAGTAACGTATGTATGCTGCGATTGTACTAATTAGTGAATAATTAAAAATATTTTGTAATAATATCTTTTTGGATTCGATTCGACGGCCTGTTGGTCTAGTGGTTAGTGAACCTGAATGTTAAGCCGGAGCTCGTGGGTTCGATTCGCACCCAGGCCATATAATTGTGTGATGAGCACGATTATTTGTTCTGTGTCTTAGTTATATAAGCTCTCGAACTACACTGTGGTAATTTGTTTAACTAATATAATTTGTATGTATTTACAAAATATGTTGTATGTTATGTATAATGTGTATGTATTTACAAAAAAAGTATATAGGTACGTATTCTATCAGTCAATCATAGTACAAGCTCGCTTAGTTTGAAACTAGATGGCGTTGTGTCAGATGTCAAAAAATATTATTATATAGTCATCATCACATCATCATCAACAGCCTTTAATAGTCCACTGCTGGACATAAGCCTCTCCTTAGAAAGGAGGTTTTGGCCTACTATATATTATATAGTATAAAAGTTATAGAATCCTCTTTTTCGAAATCATTTTTACGCTTTTTAACCGACTTACAGCACACAAAAGCGGAGGTTCTCAATTCGGCTGTATTTTTTTTGTGTGTTTGTTACGCAATATCTCCGTAAATAGGGAATATGCATATATATTTTTTTTTTTAAACGATTCTACTAGTTATTACATTACCAAAAATAAATATAACACATCCGAAATATAAACCGTTAAGCAAAAAAAAAATTATTGAAATCACTATCATTTTGGGGCAATTTGAACACGTCCATTTTAGCACGCTTTTTTTGTGACGTCAGATTACACTTTCAGACGAATTCGATGTCAACAACGGAGTGAAGTAAACAAAGTTTGTAAAAGTTCAAAAAGTGAGTGATAAAAATTAACTTATTACCATGGAAAGCCAATAAAAACTTATTATAAATATTGTGCCGTTCCTTTGTGCCCAAATAATATCAAAACTGCACCTGACAAAGTATATTCAGTCATTGTGTTGAGTCTTTCTACACGGGAATTTAATAATTTAACACTGAAAACATATTAGTTATTAACTTAAAATGAAACAAATAATCACCAGAAACCAAATATTATAAATACACACAACTTGTTGACACTCTTGACAGTGTACGTTGACGTCACGTTTTATTCAACCAATAGCGTTGCGTTTTAGAAATTAGCGAGGGAATCTTAAAAAAGCCAATTTTTGATGATTAAATATCACTATTAAATCATAATAAATTTCAAAAATAATTGTATGGGTATCTTTTTTTAGCAATAAAAATTACAAATAAAAATATTTTGTTCTTTTTGGTGTCACGTGCATATTCCCGATTGTGGACCGATTTTAAAATCAGCATCTGATGATGGGCTCCTAGAGAAATCATGGGAATCCCTCAAATATTACAGCCCGATAACGTGTTTTTTTCTTTAGCTTTATTATAGGTTTTTGCTTTTAGTAGTCATTATGTCATGTTGCTTAGCTGATGATGGAGGGATCCTTGACCTTTAGGAGTTAGAAGATAACTCTTTCAGAAATCTAATCATGTATTGACCTTGTTTTATTGTTTCAAGATATTTGTTGGGTGTTAGTGTTGGGTTACAGAGATATGTGCACAAGAGAGTACCTAATAAATGAGATTACAAAAAAATAGACAGAAAACAAAATTTGTTTCGCAATTGTTTTCATGTATTTATGTTCTAAAACTCTTTCATTTGTAAACCGATTTGGAGAATTATTTTTTATTGAATGGACCCAAAGGGTTAATATTTACCCCTTTGGCTCCATTAAAATGTGAAGAAAAAATTCCACTCATCGTGGTAGAAAATAAAGTCGAAATGTCGAAAACAATATATTTTTGGGTTCAAATGTAACATCTCATTACCTTATATCTAAATATAGTAACGGACTTATGAAACTAAATTTAATATAATAAAACATACTACAGTTTGGTAATATACATACATTACAGAAAGTACGTAGTGTTTTAAAATTGGTACTAATCTACTCATTACAAAAATATCTTATACTAAACACAATACTAGTAAAGAGCAATAAAAATAAAAAATAAAATTACAAATCTAAGTGAAAAATCTAACTTAAGTGTGACTCTTTATACATATAACGGCTAACAGTTAAATAGCAATAGATACCTTCTAGTCTGTTTGAAGTCTAATTTGAAGGCTTAATTGAAGTAATACTGTTCTATGTTAGCTTTATATTAAAAAACAATTCAATATTATTCTAATGAAACATTTAGTTAATTAATAAAGGCTAACCCGATCAATTACGTACGCAAACTTATCTGCTACTTAAGCATTCAAAATAATAATAGATATCATTTGTGATGTTCACAACCCTCTATGGCTCGTTTAGTACGTTTTGTGCAGCACAAGGACTCTTGCAGCCGCCGCGCCACCTGTTTGGCTTGGCACCGACTTCAAACAGCATGCAAGATATGCAAGATCACTAGAAGGTATATATTGCTACCTGTTTATTGAGGGTCGCACTTATTTTAGTTTTTTTTAAAGGATTTATTCCAGGTTCAATAATAATAACTACTGTTTATTTCAGGGCACCATGGTCCATTTTGTTAGTAACAATATTCTTAGAGACTAGTGTTAGTACAGTACATATCGAAAACAAAGAAATATAGACATACACACACACACAACAATCATTGCTGCACCATTCCGTACGCAATTGAGCAACAACGATTGATGTAACTACAGTCCAGCCGACTAGAGATCATGTTTAGAATACTGTTGACGCCACCACACACCCTGCGCATCAGAGATGTGCATCTTTTACGCATCGTAGCATAAAAGCAATCTACGCGATGTTCAGCAGACATCCCCGATGCACTACAGAAACACTGCAGCTTCCTCAAGGCCTTATCATATTGGACTCGGAGGGCACTGTACGACGCTTGAGTATAGTCAGCCCACAGGCTTCACGTGTAAAATGAAGTGAAATACGATCTAAAAAGTGTAAGTGTGACTGCTGTCGAGCAACGTGCAAACCTGCGAGCCTCGCCCTCGCTGACAGCGCCCTCCGTTCCTTCTCTATGTCATCATTGTCCTTAAGGTCAGAGGTGCACGTGTGCTGCTGAGTGCACCGATCAGGTGATTCATATACAGGTTAAATAAGGTTGGCCATAACCCTCCTTGCCTCACCCCCACATACCAACCATATCAGTACATGGAGATGTTAATGTTAGAAGGACGTCCCTGAAATTGTTTTTTTTTTACTCGAAGAGTACTTAACTGAGATTTTATTTCATTGTGTTTACCTTAGAATAATAACGCGTTATTATTCTAAGGTGTTTACTATAACGCCACTTAGGCGTTCTCAATGTTTTAGGATATCTACGCAACGGAGGAGTACAATTATGCGGCATTAAATATTTCGAAGCATAGGGCTATCTATCTCTAACAAGTCTTGCTCATCAGGACCAGAAAGAACTCACGAATGACCTTTTATGACATTGGTGTTTGTTACGTTTGTTACGACGTTTCACTACACAGTGTTACTACAAAAAGCTAGTTTCCCAAAATAATTTGGTAACACATTTCAAAGAGTTACAAAACAATGTAAAAAATGAACTCCTTTCATAAAGTTCTTCCATATAAATAATGTAATTTTATATATAGAATTTAGCTAACATTATGGTGATACCTTCTGTAGAATTATTTCTTTATTGTTGAGGATTTTTAGATAAATATTGGAGATTGTGAAACTTATGACATGACACTTGACATATTAAATTAATTGGCAGATAAGACCAGTGAGTGAGAACAGTTGGGTCGGTTGCAGCAAAGCAGTTCCGCTTAGTATAATAGTTCATTCTTTAATTATTCGTAGCCGATATCGGATACATATGAAATGTCTCAGTCACTGAAAAAACTTTCTGTGCAAGTGCTAAAAAATAAACATGGAGAAGCTATCATCAGTAACTTTCTCAGAGCTAACAGGTAAACCGGCAGATAACTGCTTTACGTAATAGAACTTTATGTTATTAAATAAAAGCATGGTCAACTTGATGACGTTAAAATTTAACACAACCAAGTTCTTTAAGAACCAGTTTTTTTTAATGACTTGAAGTTTCTACACAAAGTCCTTAGCTAATAGTAATAACTTTTATAAAATGATTTAAAAAAAAAACTTTTTGTTAACTTTCATGTATTATAGGGAATGTTGTCACCCAAGGAAACTTAGGAAAGAATTCAGAACAATATGAATTGAATACAATTTAATCCTCTGATTAAAGGATAGTTTTGTGCACTATGCCCACCTAAGTTTTTTGTAGCTAGAAATTTTTGTACATTAATTCTAATTTAATTTTTTCTTTTAGATATAGTTCAATAATTTGTGATAGAGAATGCCCAACCAGGTTATGGACTTTTTATTGTGTTTGTTTGTGTTTGTTTAATTATCATTGTGTTTAGTATAATAATATATTTTCTTCACACAGTACATGGTGGGGTCACATTCAAATGGGCCCCCCTGATGCCATCCTTGGTATAACTGAAGCTTTCAAAAAAGACACAGACCCGAAGAAGGCTAACCTTGGAGTTGGTGCTTACAGAGACGATGATGGTAAACCATACATTCTACCATCTGTCAGAAAGGTAAGTTTTTAAAAAAACGTATTTATATGTTGAAAAAAATTAAACTTATCACCATTTATTTGTTTTGTAACTAACTTCAGGTTTTCATTTTCAAACTCCATCATTCTCTTTTATGAACCAATTTGGGAAGTTTATTTAAAGGAATTCCTGTTTCCATTTAAATTTGAAGGTAAAATTATACCCCTAAGTATAGCAAACATGTTTTAGTTGGTTATATTGTTTTAAAAATGCGTTGTAACTTATACTAAGGTAGCTTACTATTAGTTATATATAAATATAGCTTAGTATAAGTTGACACTGAAATGAATTATAATTTAAATAACAAATACTATTAACAACTGATAAGTTGTTGATTATTTAACACCAAGAAATTCTGATGAATTTGTTGGTGATAAATAACCAACTTCTGATAAGTTGTTTTTGGAGTTGAATTCGGAATTTGTGAGTATAGCCAATAAACTATGCTCATAAAATCTGATATATGTATAATTCTAAAACAATGTCAAATGATGCAGTACATTGCACAATACATTCTAAGAAGAAAACCTAAAATTTATTTAAATTAAAAAATATCTTCTTGTTTCATACTTTTCTTCAGTGAGACTTTACTATTTTAATAAAAAAGCTAATTTAAAAACTTCCTTATAAGTTTTTATTTAATTTAAAAATAATAAACATAATAATAATATTATTTTCTTGTATATAGGCTGAACAAATCCTCTTCAATGCTGCCTTAAATCATGAATATGCACCTATCTCTGGGGATCCTGAGTACACAGCAGCAGTTGCTAAACTTGCGTTTGGGGAAAATAGCAAAGTCCTAGAGGAAAAGTCAAATTGCACTGTGCAGGTAAGAATACCATTGGAGTTGTGCAAGTGGAAGCATTTAGCCCAGTTATCACTTAGAACTTTTTTTTAATATATTACTAAATTTTTAAGCTTTTAAAATTCTAGGGTAGGGATGTATAATTATTATTTATTATATTAAGGATTGAGGGGAAATTCTTGTCTCTGGGAGAACCATTTTTCGGCACTTACGGGCTGGCTCGACCGGCCCACGGGTGATACTACAGCCTTACAGAAAGCCGGTGTTAATCAAATCTTTTGTTGTTTTTCATCGAGTACATGAAGTTTCCAGAAGCCTAATACCCCACGCATTTTGGTGAGGAGAGAGCACACAAAGGCTGGCAACACACATGTTTCTCTTCGCTATTATGAGTCCTTGTGGTAGTCACTTAACATTAGGTAACCTGTCTGGTCGTTTCGGCTACACCATAAAAAAGCTATTTAATCGCAATTAGTCGAACTTCAATTTCTGGATTTCACACAACAAAGATTTAGAAAATAACAAATTTTTTTTTTAGACATTGTCCGGTACTGGAGCTTTACGTCTTGGCTTGGAGTTCGTCATGAAACACTATGCCAAGAATAAAGAGATCTGGCTTCCCAACCCCACATGGGGTAATCACCATCAGATCTGTAATATGATCAATTTGCCATTCAAGAAATACCGCTACTTCGATCCGAAGACGAACGGTTTCGATATCGAGGGCGCAAAGGCTGATATCTGCGTAAGTACTTTTTATGCAATCTTATCGCGGCTGTATGTATTCACGGTGTCCACCGATTATCAGTTTACCTGAGCTGGAGGTGAAGTCGTATATCAGACTGGCTGATCCACGCAACTTCGTCTGCTTCTACCAAAAGAAATGGATTTTCCATTTTTATTGATGCTCTTTTAGTTACCTATAGTCTTCCTTGATAAGTGGGCTATCCAAATGGAATTTTTCGATCGGGACTAGTAGATCCTGAATTTAGCGCGTTCAACCAAACAAACAAGCTCTTCAGCTTTACAATATTAGTGTAGATTCGAATCGACTAAAACTATGGTGTTCCGACTCCGCTTCTAAAGTATAACATTGGTCATTCGAAAAGCAGCTTTGCCCAGTGAGTACCATAGCAGCCGGTAGGAGAGGCTGTCGTGTCGATCGCCACAATCCTGCCGAGAAACATTTAGCCTGTTGAGAAGCGAATGCCTTACTAAAATAAGCAAATCATGAAATGTTTTACATATCTACATGTTGCGAGGTATACAAAACAATGTGTCGAAAGAATCTAAAAACTACGGTTGCGGTACTTTATGAATTACCTCTACAGTGTCCTTTATTTTAACAAGCTATTGCCTGCGACATTAACAAGAGTTAATAAACCACTGATTATATACACTCAAATCACTTTAATCCCAAAAACCACCACCAACCACTTTCCATCAGGTAACCCGTCGGCTCGTTTACCTCCCTATATTACAAAAAAGTACAAATATTGATGCCCTCATGTCACTTTTACATAAGAATACCGCTTTTACAAAACTTAACATAAGAATACCGCTTTTACAAAACCTTACGAGTCGTTTACTCTCGTCGCGCAGGCGGAGGGTGAGGTAGAAATACGATATTTTTAAGATGTACACTGAATTTTATTGACAGAGATGTGATTCGATATCGATATTTAGTCAGAAATAGTAATACACCGAATAGTAAATCTACACAGAAAAAGCCGGGCAAAGGAGAGAAACTAAATTTCAATTCATCATTCTAAAAAATCGAAAATCATTTCTAGTTACAATCTATTCATTAAAGTTACTCCTAATTATATTCATATAGTATAAATCACTTAGTAACTAACAAAAGTATTAAATAAATGGTAAATACTTTCGGGCTTGTAAAAATATCTGAAAAGATTTACTTACAAAAATATCATTTATTTAACGTAAGTTTTCTATTACTGTCTATATAACTGACCACAGTTATATTGAATGTTTTTGGCCAACAGGCTTGCCCGGTTTATTTCTGTACAAAAATAAACACAGAGGCTAAAATTATATTACGCCGGAGCTCACACAATAACGGTTTATGTAAAGATATGCGCCTTATCATTTACATTTTATTTCCCTTGTGGTAAAGAAAATCGTCTGAATATAGTAATTCTTTGATGCTTGGTTCTTTTTTTAAATGTTGTAAAAAAGTAGGTATGTTTAGAATTTTCTACTGTTTGCTACTCATCGATGCAGTAAAACATAAAGACAGTCCAGTTGCATTATATTATTGTTTATCAACGTGTGATAAGGCAGCAGCGAAATTGGGAGGGGAATAAATTCATCAATATTCGTTTAATTCACATTGTATAATATTAACACCAAATTTATTAGATAATAAAGATATAGTGGAATTTGATGGCAAATATGTTATGTTACATGTTGTTGATAGTTATTGATAGCGTCAGTGATATAGACTTACTATCTGCCGACTGGTAGATACTGGATCGCAACGTAAACACGTATATAATGTGTGATAGATATTATGATATTACTTAGACTGGCTCTCCCTTGCGACTTCGTTTGTAAAAATTAGAATGGAAAGGGGGGAAGGAGTCTTGGCGTATACTACAGGTCACACTGATCACCGATGGGGGCGGAGGTAAAAAATGGGTCGCTCTCCAGAAGAATTTAGATATATGGGGATATAGGATAGTACCTCATAGGACTGTTTTCTGGATGGAATGGTACACTTCCTTTGTATGTGTAGCCCGCTGCGTTCTGTAGAATAAAAATATAAAAATAATAATTGAAGTAAACATAAGTCAAGGAATGAACAATTTAATTAAACAATTATTTAGCTGAAAATAATAATAATAATTTATTTATGCGTACTTTCCATTATAGTATTGCTAACTTCTTACTATGAAAACTTTAAACAGTGGATGTATAATCTTGACATAGTATAAAATAATGTCGTTTTTGTGTGTTGACGCTTAGATCTTTTAAACTAAGCAATGACTTTTATTGCGGTTGCCACCAATAGAGAGAGTTTCGAGAGGAAGGTTTACATGTATAATACATGCATATTATAGTAGAGAAAATCTGAGAATTGCAAAGATTTGTTATAAAAAACATGTTTTTGTGCGCTTACATTGCAAACGCTTGCTAAACCTTACGAGATAAACCAAAACTACAGAATTGTGTAACTTAAAAAGATGTACAAAACAGTCCGCGATGGTATACATATATCTATCTTGTAAGGATAACCCACAGTAACCATTTTTATCTTTTAAATATTAAAACAAAATAATGGGTTATTTACGGAGCTATTTGAAACAATACATTTTTTTTCCTTATCCAAATAAATACGTTAGATACGTTGTGTATTTAATGTAGATTTAAATTCTCTTTACGGCATATCATTAAAATGAATATTTTAGAACATAGTAAAGGTTTAAAATGGGGCCCAAAGACTGTCGAGCCGTACGTCCGTCCGTCCCGGGTGGCAGCGACCGGCAGTATCAGAGCGGGCCTATAGTCTCCACACTGACACCACATTAGTAGTATTAGTATTATCTACATTACACTCCTGCCAAGCCGGGGCGGATCGTTGGTTAATGAATAAAAGCCTGTACTTCTAGAAATAGTAAATAGCGATTATATAAGTGTAAAGTAAGGTTTAAGCGGTCTTTGCTGATATTTTACCAATATCGAATAAATAGAACAATTGCTATGCGATCTTTGTGAGAAACTTTATTCATATATTATACAAAAAATATACAATAATAATAAAGAGGCTCACGTTGCGGGGGAGGGAGACTAGATTAAGAACCTTATGCAGAAAGCAGTCCTTTTCAATATGGCACGCATAAGTACCCTAACCACTGATGCTTGGTCCCTGTACCCGAAACTGGTAGAACACTACTTTTTAAATTTAATTCTCAATAATTTTTTACATGTTTAGGCATTTGACGTTTTATAATGTATTGAAACTATAAAAACACTATGACATAAAAATAAATTCTCTGTAATTCTTCTAATTTGGTCGGAATTTTTATTAAATATTTTTTTCTATTTCATAGAAAATACCGGAGGGATCAATTATTTTGCTACATGCATGTGCACACAACCCTACCGGTGTTGACCCAAGTATGGACCAGTGGAGACAACTATCCGAGGTAAGTAAGCAACTTTATCTATATACATATCAATACTTGAAAGAGATTTCTTTGTAAGCATTTTGAGCCAATTTACCTCAATTACAAATGTAAATGTGTTGGTATACTGAACGATTGCAGGTAGAAGTGCAGCAAAAGCTACAATTTTGTATCAAATATGTTATATTTATGGTATAAATGTTAACCTTCATAGTGCAACAAGTCTATACAAAAATAGTTATACTTGTCAATGATGTAAAAATAGACAGGTAGACATTAAGAATTGCGTTCTAAATTCGAGCACTAAGCGGTGTCTAGTATTTTTTAATACTCTAGTGATATATTTGTTGTTTTCTACTTACTGATACTGAGTACTTCAGTCAGTCGGTCAATTTATTTATTAAGGCGTATTAATAGAATCAGAAGTCAATAAAAAAAGTAATAAGAAAAATATGTCGAAAATAGAACGCCGATCAAAAAATGTAACAGGATTGCTGGCTCTTATTAAGAGATATACGAATACAATATTTAGACATTAAATGGTTACTATGGTTATTAAATGGTTACTTAAATTAAAAACTGCTATAAAAATACGATCTCAAATAGTTTTGATTAAATTCAAATATAGCGCCAGTTTATTTTAAACAAAAATAATGTTGCAAAATAGGTATGGTGATAATATGAGTCACACTAAACAGTTTACTGGAAATGACGAAAATTTCCATTTACATTGGTCTGCAACTTAATACGGGTGTACTTATTCGTACATGTGTACGTACGTACGTACGAATACATACGTATGTACTTATATGCACATAGGTACTTATACCTGCGTATTTATACGCATATCAATGCGAGTTTTTCATACATTCTTATTTTTCTAAGCGTAATCATAGACTACTTCTTTAATCATAACAATTTCATTAATACAGTCAAAACAGCTTTTTTTTTTCATTTGGTTGTAATTAGTCATAGTCACATAGTATACTTAAAGTATTTATTTATCCATTAAGTTTCAAAGCACCTTAAATCAAACATATTCTATGGTATTTAAGAAGTAATAATATAATATTCTAGATCATACAATTTAAGAAGTTACTACCATTTTTCGACATGGCGTACCAAGGGTTCGCTACCGGAAATGTGGACGGTGACGCGGCAGCTGTACGCTTGTTCGTAGAGGACGGTCATCAGGTTGTACTTTGCCAGAGTTTCGCCAAAAATATGGGTACGTTGAAGTGAATTGTACTTTAACTCATTAATAATACAACTGAATAATTTCGACGGCAGAAGAGTTTATATTTTGTACATATACTCGCTTATGTCCTCACTCGCTCTGTCACAATGTTGTGGATACCTTTTTATTGTTCGTTTATGGAACAAACGAGCAGACGGGCCTGATGGTAATTGACTTCCGTCGCCCATGGACACCTGTAACTCAAAGGTCATAAGTGATTTGCCACCCTTTGACTCTTCCACCCAGAATCAGGGAAAAGAGGATCTGGGGTCCGGTAAATTCACTCATTCGGTAAAAAATAACGAAACTATTGCTTGAAACCAGTTCAAGAGGTCACTCCGGTCGTAGCGACCCATTTGTTCCGATGCGTGGCTCTCCTACAGTAAATTAATCCTTAACATTAAAAATTGGTTGCCTGTAAAGTCGGTATACGGGCGAAAGTTTTACGTGACAACGACTTTGAGTGGTAAAATAATTTTAATGTGAATATTCATTCGTATAGTAGGAAGAAGGATGAAATAATAGTAACAATTTAAAACATTTATTTATACAAAGAATTATATTTAAAAAAGGGACGCGTGCCTTTCACTTTTTATGTCTGTCTCTCTCGCTCTTAGGCGGGCTAACCATGCCCGAGTGGAAGGGACGCGTGCCTCTCACTCGCTCTCATTGTGAGCGCATAACGTGAGCGGAGCGTAACGCAGTTTCTTGAAGTGTCACCCGGCAAACCAATTTATAAGACGTTGTCACGTCAAAATAACTCCTCTACTCTTCTTAACATTTAAAATAGCATAAGGCGAACTGCAGTATGATCCTCAAGACAGTGTACGCTTTAACTGAATATATGTGTTCATACCATTTCATGTTCACGGCAACATTATATCTAAAACATAACAAAATCTAATGATTTTGTTAAAATAATTAAAAACTACAATACTAAAAAAATATAATAATAATGGTGTTGTATTAACCACTAATAACATGGTGTTGTATTACTGCGGAAGCTCAACAATGTCTGCAATGTCTGTCTTGTTTATGTATGTCTTGATTAAGAAATATAATAGACAAATAAGAAAGCCATGGAAGGGAGTTTCCAAGGTGTTGCGCAAATTTTATTGCCTTTTTGCCCAGGTCGTTGGTCGATCTGGTGATCTTTCTACGATACCCTGAACCGGTTTGGCTCAGTAGTTCAAATAATAAAACTGATTAGGTTCCTTACTTGATGTCGTCATGCATTGTTTACGACATGCAATCTTGACCTTTTTATCTTATCTACGTTTTTTTATTACGTCAATTAGGTTAGTTAGTTTTATTTTGTTTATCATGAATGTGTCATGTAGAAGACCTAGGTAGACGACGCAACTGCAAACACTTTGCCGTCAATAATACATGTTTTTCTCGTTTCCTGCACATTAAATTTACTTCGGAAATAGAACAATTCTCAGTTCGATTTTTTTTCTTTGTTAATTCAGATAGTTAATTCAAATAGAATTTTCCAAATCGGTTAATTAATGAGGGAGCTCCTTAATTAACCCATTTGGAAAATTATATTTTATTCAAATTCGAAAAATTACAAATACCATCACACAATGCCGTCTGTTTGTCCATCCTCGAGATTAGAGACTGTTACTATTAACAAACTTTAATTTTGCTTATATGTATGTATATTAATCAAGCCGAAAGTGGTAAATTATATCTTAAATTTTTAGGTGAGGTTTTTTTATTTCTTGTATATCTCATATGGTATCGCGTTGATAGTTCTTTCCGAAACATTAAGAGATTTTGAAAATTGTTTGTAAGATTCAAATTGGAAATGTAAATAATAATTGGAAATAATAATTTAATTTCTCACCACAATATAGTATACATTACATTTGAATAAAACAAAAAAATACAAATTATCATTTCCAGAATATTGTGGGAGACTGGTGCCTAAGCTAGGCTCGAGGCCTGCGTTTCAGGACACCAGGTCTCCACCCCGTGTATATTTACATTTTAATATTTTTTTATTTATTTTACACAAGTCGGCACTACAAAGTTGCATGTTTTACTATATTTAATAGTTTATTTCTAGTAGCATAGCATATTAAGTGAGGTACATAAATTATTGTTGTGTGTCGCGTGTGAATGATTATGTGTGTATGTGTATGTGTGTGAGTGATTAATTGTGTGTGTGTGTGTGTTTATGTGAGTGTGCGTGTGTTTATGTGAATGTGCGTGCGTGTGTGTGTGTGTGTGTGTGTGTGTGTGTGTGTGTGTGTGTGTGTGAGTAGGCGTGAGTATGTGGATGCGTGAGCTTGTGGGTATGGGTTTGTTCATGTGCATTCGTGTCATTAGCAAACTCTAAACTATTACCGAAAGCATCGCTTCAGTATCGTCATAGTTTAACCCCTTCAAATAATTAGTAAGCGTTCGCTTATTCATGGCCTTTGTGAGGTGGAATATCGGTACAACTCTGTTGACCTTATTGTACAGGAAGCCGCCCATGTGGCAAAAGAACCGTTTGGAATGTTTTGTTAAAAGCTTAAGACGTTGTACGGGATTGACTCTTCTTTTGACACTGGAAGGAGTTTGGTTATAGACTAGTAAAGAATGCTGTTTCAGCAGAGTATACAAAATGAACAGCTGACGCACCGTCAAAACTTCAGCCTCCCTGTACAGCAATGCAGTAGGAAAGTGATATGGCTTACAAAGTGCCACCTTCAAGATAGCCCTTTGCGTTCTCTCAAGGTCAATTAATCTAATTTTCGGCGCTCCACCCCATATGGTGATACAATAGGTGAGAACTGACTGAACAAGGGCAAAGTAAACCGCTTTTAGTCGTTGAGTGTCTAAGACGCATCTAATCGTTTTAAAAATATACATTAATTTACGTAACCTACTGTTGAGGGCGTCTATGTGTTCATGAAATCCTAAATTTTTATCTATGATCACACCCAAGTATTTGACGGTATGTGCTTTATGTAAAGGAGTGCAAGGGCACTGACCTCTGTGCGGTTCAGGACACGTGTGGGCCAGTATTGTATAAGGTGAGGCTTTTGAGGTTGAAGGATTGCCTTTCAGAGAGAATGTGATGTAGTGTGTTTTATCGTTATTCAGGGTCAATAGGTTACTTCTTAGCCATTTAGATACAATATTGAACCCCGATTGAGCACGCTCGTAGACTTCACTCCACGTATTACCACTAAACACAAGAGCAGTGTCGTCAGCAAACATTACCGCCCTGCCTTTAGGTAGAGTGAGCATACCTATATCATTGACATAGATAAGGAAGAGTGTAGGGCCAATTACACTCCCCTGGGGCGTGCCATATGTGAGTACACGCTCATCACTGAGATAATCGCCTATCCTAACTCTCTGTGTACGCTCACTTAAATAATCTTTAAAGAGATCCAGTGGCACACCTCTGATTCCTAGGCTTTCCATCTTTGACATAAGGTTGGGTACGGAAACCGTGTCAAATGCTTTGGCAATATCTAAAAAGATGCCTAAAACCTTTTGTCCACCATCCATTTCTGTGACTATATAGTCGGTGAGTTCATGTACCGCGTCTGAGGTTGATTTACCAGCTCGAAAACCAAACTGTATAGATGAGAGAAGCTGGTTTCCTTCTAGATAAGTAATGAGTCGGTTATTCATTACCCGCTCAATAATTTTTGAAAGGACTGGCAGTACAGCAATCGGTCTATAGTTGTTGACACGGCTTCCGTCGCCACCCTTGACGATTGGGTGTATGATGGCTTTCTTAAACGCCTTAGGGAATTTTCCTGTAGAGAGTACAAGATTACAAATGTACGTTAAAGGTGACACCACAGCTAGTTCGTGTTTTTTCAAAATTCCACTCGATATTCCATCCCAGCCAGTGGAACAGCCATCACGAAGTGACCTTAAGATCCTAGCAACCTCACCCTCATCAGCAGGCAACAGTACCATAGAATGCGGACTGTTGTTCGCAGTAATTGGCTTAGCGGGTCCGCTCTGAGCAGTCATATTTTTTTCCGCTAGGTGTTTGCCGATGTTTGAGAAATAGTCATTTACGAAGTTTATAGAGGCCTCTGGTGAGGTAAGGGTAGTCAACAACCGGGTCGAAACATTCACTTTACCCTTGGATCTGCCCGTCATATTATTTATGACCGACCACACCTGCTTAGTGTCATTGCCTGCTTTCTCAACCTGTTTCTTTTCGTAGTCCATCTTAATAGTTTTTAAAAGTTTGTTGCAATAGTTTTTATATCTTTTGAACGTAAGTTTTATGATGTCATTATTAGGGGCCAATTTACTTTTTTTATGTAGGTTGTCTCTGTGCCTAATACACCTAAGTAAGCCTGGGGTAATCCATGGCTTTATAGTTTGTTTGCGATTTGGAATTTTGACGATTTTAGAGTTCAAGTCAATAGTATTTTTAATTAAATTAATCATTATCTCTGCTGCATCATTAGGATCCAGCATCTTGTATACCTCACTAAAGTCTAGATGTTTGAAGTCTGCATCTAATTGCTCATAATTGATGCGATTTACAAACTTTTTTGTTTTGATTTTTGATATTCTGGTTGATAGATATAGTAAGACAGTGTCGTGATCAGTAAGAGATGAGTTAGCGACTAGAGTTGTAGCAGGTTTACGGGTTTTCAATATAATGTGATCAAGGCAAGCATTTTGTCGGGTGGGTAGCGAATGCGCAGGTAGTAAGCCATGTGATGCCAATAAGTTCAGATAATTATGTTTAACTAGGTCCTGGCATTGCTCGTGAATATTAATGTTAATGTCTCCTGCAACAACTATATCGCTAAAATGGTCAATCCTAGTCAATATGTCGTTTAGAGAGGCCAAGAAGTTGGTAGCGTCTCTATATCCTGGAGGTCGATATAGGGCAAGTAAACTAGTGTTATTATTAATTGTTACTTGGAGACAGTTTGCATCTAAAAATGGGGGTTCCACCACCGTACATTGTAGGTTTTTGTGAACGTAAACAACCACACCTTCATTCTGTGTAAGGTTGTTGGTAGTGAAAAAGTAGTTGTAGCCGGGTAGGTCGGGGATGTTGTGTGTATTAGGAAGCCAACATTCAGTCAAAACCAGAATGTCCCAGTCAATATTGGTTCGAGCAAGTGTGGTGATAAATCCTGGCATATTCTTTGTAATACTTCTTATATTTTGATTAAGTATTTTAAGACAATGGTGAGGCACGAAGTTAGACGGGGCGCAGCGGTCCAAATCGCAAGTTGCCGACTCAGACACAGAGACAGAGTCTATATTGCTTATTGTATTTTGTACACCATCGAATGTTAAAAAAGAAAAATTTTATAATATTATATTTAGGTTTTAAACCTTCACGAAATTTCAATATTACGTACAAAAACCAAAAAAAGAAATTTGAAACTTGGCGACACGGTGCATACTCATATGATAGTTGACAGTGAATTCTCACCGCACAAAATGTAATAAGTGCAAGTAAGTTTTCAGAGCAGATTGTCAGTAAGGAATGAGTGTAGTGTGTATTCAGTTTTATGAATGTTACTTGTAATATGGAGTATATATATTTATCAGTATAAAAACATTGTATATTTATGTGTAAAATAGTTGTAAATGTGTAGGTAAGTTGAACATTACAGTGAATTAGAATAGTCACAATAATAGTATTAAAATAAAATAATTTAAAATAAAAAATAGCTGAAAAGTGCAAAACTAGTCACATTCTTCTTCGCAACCCAACAAAATCCTCCTCAGTCCTTATAAGATACTTAGGCCTACCTTCCTTCTCCCGTATATATACTTTACCGTTGGCGGTCCAACATTGTTCGTATTCACTGCTTTTAATAAATTCTCGCGCGAGGTAGTATAGGCGCTTTGTCATAGCAGTGAGTGCCTCAGATACGTATAGCGGTTGCCTAGGCCCTACGTCAGACAGGTGATAGGAGTTAAGGCGATTATCTTTGTTTTGTTTGTTGTAGTACTTAGCCGAACCCAGGAAGCGCTCCTTAAGCATTTCTGTCGAGAACTCCACCATAACTGTTCCTGGTGAACCCATCTTTCCCTTCAAACGAAATATATTCTTTATGTTTTCGTCAGTTACCGGCTGGTTGATGACGTCACCCAATTTTTTAATTGACTCAGTAAGTGTTTCACGAGTTTCAGGTATTGAGGGCGGTAGATTTTTAAATTCAAGGGACGCAGATTTGATATGTTTTTCCAAGTAATCCACCTTTGATTCCAATGCTTTTACTGTTTTTTTATTGTTATTACACTCCTCTTTTAAGTTACTTATTTGCAACAGGGCATCATCGTACCTTTCTGACAAGAATATAACAGTCTTTTGGATTTCATCGTTTTGCTGACGAATTTCTACATTCTGTTTTCGTATAACAGAGTTTTGAGATCTTATTTCATCAAGAGCAGAGTGCAAAGAGTCTATTTTCTCGTTTTGCTGGTTTTGTTGTATTACTAACTGAGAGAACATGCCCTTCATCTCATTCATCATTTGTTCCATCCGTTCCCAGTCGTTCTCACTACGCTTTCGTTTTCTCTGAGCAATTTTTTTATTACTATCATTAACGTTCTCCTTGACATTCACTGACAAGTTAGGTTCAGAAGCGTAAAGGGTACTCGCTGACTTATTTGGTGGGGTTCGCGTGAGAGAAGTGGTCATCTTTGTTTTTAGCTAATAGTGTAATAATGGTATAAGGTTAATGTAGGGTAGGTTAATAGATATTGTGGTTATTAATCTCAGCAGCAGTCAAACTTCTTGTTTATATTGCGATGAGAAACAAAACAGTAGTACTCACACAGCGGTGTTTACAGTGATGATACTTTAGTGCGCAGGAGTAATAATAGTGCCCGTATAACGCAATAGAAGCACTGCCGAGCGTAGCCGATAACGTACCGAGGATACGTCCTTGAGGCACGAAGTTTGCCGAGCCGGTCGGACGTTGCTCGAGTTCGCTGCTTTGATTGCCGATGACTCATACGCCGCCGTGTTGAATTCAAATATGCTTGTGGCCGTTGTTGTTGAATTTGAATAATTCCGTGATATCTTCGTTGTTTATTGATGAATTTAGAAACTGTTTAGTTCACCGTAAAGTCAACACAATAGGTCACACAACAATACAGTGTAATAAACTAAAAACAACTCATTACACTAGTTATGATCTTTTATATAGGAGTGCAAAAAAAGTACGTGTTATCGCCCTCAGAGCCGGGGGGGGAGAGATCATGATGGTAGTAACATGTTATTGGAATTAATCAAACTACTCGATTTTCATACAGATCGTGTTATCTTGGTATTATGTTATCAATGTAGAATTAAAGGATAATAATTTTTATCTCGTATTGTATAAAAGATATATGAATGAGAGAATTGTCGATAAATCTTTGTATCATCAGCAGCAAATAACGTGATTATGACGCACGCAAATATAAATTCGTCTTGTATGTTATGTTACAATGTTACAAATTTTAATTGACGTATTTGTGACTTTTAGAGACACATGTGTGTTCGTTGTATGTCGCAATGCGAACATAGTCGAATTTGTAATTTATGATTCCACATTATATTAAAAAAAAAAGATTTATAACAGAGTGTGCGAAAGATAAGAAACGGCAATGGCAAGTTTACGAGGATGTATGAATGTTTCTAGTTTGCGATTACTAATCAAAGCGAATTCACATTTGAACATACATAAAGCGAAAGCATTATGGAAGAAGATTATTAGCCACAGGATGATTTAACCACACACAAAACCACAGCGCGAAATTAATTACAGTTTCCTTAGAACATTTTCTAAGTTGGCTTTTCAGTTTGTTTTATTTCAAATATGGTATTCTACATAGGTGTCACAATACAAGTAGAGGGTGTTATATATTTGGTTTTCCATTGATATGTAATTATCTAACCTAATGAAATTCGTCTCAAATGAATTGACATTACGCGTATATTATTTTTATTTAATACTAAAATATATTAAGTAAGTGTTACATTTTGATTCTAGGCTTATATGGCGAGCGCGCTGGTGCATTAACCTTGTGCTGCGGCACCGCCGAAGCGGCTGCAAAAACGATGTCTCAGGTCAAGATAATGATCCGGACGATGTACTCCAACCCTCCGTTATACGGTGCTCGTCTAGTAAAGACCATCCTCACAAATGACGAGCTTAGAAGCCAATGGTGGGTTAATTAAACTAAGAGGTTTAAATAGTGACCCATAGTTTTTACATGTTATTATAATGATCAAAGAGTTTCAATATCTGACACTTGAGATAGTATACAAATCTCAAAGGGTTTCCGATAGCGGGAAAAACTGAAGGTATTTTTTCGATAAAAATGAACTTTTGACAAGTTACAGGTTGACTTGTCAAAAGTTCATTTTTTTTATTTTATTTCGGCTTCGAGTCAGCTTATAATATACTCAGATATAAATCCGCGTAATGGATAAGGAAAGCATCGACTATTTTATATTGTCTGCCAAATAAAAATACCTAAAATATGTTAGTGAATGTCATCAATCAATGTTATTTCATCTGACCTTTTTAACCGACTTCGAGAAAAAGGAGGCTCTTCTCAATTCGGCAATTTTTTTTTATGTTGGTTGCCCCAGAAATCCGTCAAATATTGACTGATTTGGAAAATTTATTATTTATTTTATTTTAAAAGGTATTCTTACTTCTCTTTTAGACCAATTTTAATTTAAAAAAACCTCTGCTAAGAGTAGAAATTGAGGATTGCAGATTGTTACAGTTAATACAACTTAAATGTAATTTGTTTTACTTGAAGGTTATGTGATGTGAAATTGATGGCAAATCGTATCATCACTATGCGGCAGAAACTGCGTGAGGGCATCGAAAGCGCCGGCAACAAGCATTCGTGGCGGCACATTACGGACCAGATCGGCATGTTCTGTTACACGGGACTTAAACCTGAACAGGTAACAAGTGCTTGTACTCTTACCATGTCATTTGGCAAGAAATGGTGTCTTCACAAGTAGAGAAAAAAATTGAACTTGCAGTCATGTCTGATAGAAAATTATTTTCACATATTGCCCCAAGAATTACGGATTAAGAATACGGAATGTCACCACCTCTATTCATCCGTGAGTGTCGTAAGAGCCGACTAAGGGAATATACTATGCAGGACAACACACTGCAAAGAGAAGGAAAACTTGAAACAAACCCTATACCAACCCGTCTGGCCAGCGTGGTATAGTAGGCCAAACCCTTCTAAGGAGAGGCCTATGTCCAGCAGTGGAATAATAAAGGCTGTTGATGATGATGCCCCAAGATACTTTCTTCAGATCTATATATAATTATGTTTACGTAAATTAACGGACTCATGATAGGTATTAAGTACATTTACGTTTGAATTGCCTGACGGTTCGACCAGGTTGCATTTGCCATGATCGTAGGCTAACTAGTTCAGCGGTGCGCGCTCTCCGCCGTCTAGTCCGTGGGGTAGAAGTTATCTACCTGCATTTCTTTGATATTATTAATATTTTATTTTCATCACATACGCGAAACTGTGATGTTATCAAATTAATGACAGTCTAAAATAGCAGATTCATTGTTTAACAAAACTGTGTATCGTTTCCAGGTGGAACGTTTGACCAAGGAGTTCCATGTCTACTTGACAAAGGATGGTCGTATCTCAGTCGCTGGTGTTACTTCGAAGAACGTCGCCCACATTGCAGCTGGCATACACAAGGTCTCCTCTTAATCAATCCATCAAATAAAATGTAAACATTTTTGTAACTTCCCTAAGCATAGTACTAGCTTGTTTATTTAAGAGTTACTAATGTACAGGAGGAACAGTATTTATGTGAAACAAAAAAAAAATGTTTTTACCGAAAATCATCAAAGAATATAACTACTTTTTTATTTAATCTTTAGCAGTTTGTATGTGTAACGTACAGCGCTGTATGTTAAAAATAAACGTATCTAAAGTTGAAATTCTTGTAAGTTTCCATTATGTTTAAACAAACCTTTATATATAAACACATTTAGATCATACTATTCCAGTATAGATATCTTGACTGATACAAACACTTCACATCTAAGCGAATAACTGCAAATAAGCTTGTAAAAATAAAACGTTCCACTTTATAACTCCTCCCTTTTACGAGTTTTGTACTTGTACGTGCGATAACTTCATACTATACCTCTACCATTTCGTTGTGTGGACGACAAAAAACCCGCAAAAAAAAACAGATAAGAAAACACCCTTACGATTTAAATTTTATTCGTTAAAATAAGTAGATAAAATAAACTTGCCAAAAACACAAAATTATATCAACATGTTTTGATTCTACCACGGTACTAGGCAATCTACGCAAATATATACAGCTGACAAAACAAATGAACATCTTATTCTATGTTTAAAGAAAAACTGATGCAGGTCAATCGTTAACATTGCCTTTAAAGTTTAAACAAGACTTTGTATAATACAATAGATAATCCTTTGAGGACAGATGCCTTACATATAAAGGGAACACATTTTACCCACAAAGTGGTAACAATCTTAAACATATTCACCTGCATCCATTTCAAATCGTCCTAAGTCTAACATTTTACTATACTAAATCAGTTATCGTAGGATATACACAAGACATCCAAAATGCTTTTCGTACATTATTATGGTACAAAACATACTAATACATTGTTTATAAGTTGACAGTCTGTCAATGATATTTTCATTAAAAATAGTAAATGTTTATTATTATATGTACAATTTGTCATAGAACAACAAATGGCTACTCATGGCACAATTTCTTTAGAATGTTCACACATTCATTTTAAAGCAAGAAATATGTACCATTTCAATATACATACGTCTTTGAAGGGTATATTTACTGTATTGTTATTATTTTTTTATTTATTTTACATATTAACGGCCTATTGAATATGAAAAAATTTAACAATAGTTTTCTAAAACATACGTCAGGCAAATGAGGGCTCTACATTACTAAAATTATTTCTCTCGTAAACAGTAAGTTAAGGTAGTTGCAGTAATAATATCATCGTATTCGAAATATGAATACTCAAATTTTCTTTTTTTTTTATTGTCCGCCATATTTTCAACCATAGAGCAATGTATGTTTATTGATTTACAGTGAGTAATTTTTCGAATTAGTGCTACATAAATAGCTAAATAAATGTGGACTTTTGGTAAGGTTTTGTACATAGGTTATAAATAACCCTCTTCTTCTAACTTCTCTAAACTTCGGTTTCATTCACTCCTAAAAGTGCACCATACGCTATTGCAAGAATGAATTATTTTCTAGTCGTCATTTATTGTCTATTTTATTATGAACTTTATTATTTGATCTCCAATGTCAGTGTAGAATTTAAATTTCGAACTGCAAACACCTGCTGCTACCTATTAAAATTATTATTAAAACAATAATACTAGACATTATCGCTATACATTTTTAGCCAGTAGTATATGTAATACCCTAGTGTAGTAATGGTGTTCTATCGTCTCTGCTTATCATGAGTAAGGCGGGTCTCTATGTACTTATGTAATATTTACTCGAAAAACAAGCATATTGTTAAATTTTATTATGTATTAAATCTTTAACCATCACATACAGATACTATCCACATTGTTTAAGGTATTGTGGGTTACAGGATTCTCCTAATTGCTATGCTATGCTTTTGTTTTCCATATTATAAGGGACCCGGCATAAAAATAATATTTCTTTAATAATATTTCACAATATCAAAAATGCTTCGATGATAGGAAAGTTTCAGTATCACGTAGAGCCTCTATACAACCTGGATTTGAGGCTGAATTACCTTACAAAATCTAATAAACGACGGCAAGTTATAACACAAATTATATAACAAAGATTTCCGATATTACTTTGAGTAATGTTTTGGTCATCTTCGAATGGAATTTTAGCTTGCTTTTAATTATAAGAGAACTTAAAAACTGAAGAATTCTGGAAATGTGATAATACTCCTATCAGGAGCACTATCACATTTCGTTAATGTAGATTTGATTTTTTGATTTTATTTTCACAGACACATCCTTACGTCAAATGATGAGATTCTTCGTTACCATTTCTATGAATTAATAGTGCAAATAAATGGTTTACTTTAACAATACAAAAAGTTTTACAATTATCAACTTTGAAATCGCGTGCAGACTGATGTTGACTTATTAAAACAAATACATTTCCGACGCTCGTCGTATACTAAAAAGTTCTAAACTTAATGCTCCGAAACATTAAACTGAATGCTTCAGATACTAAGCTAGAGATGTGATCTAAATACATGTTTTTAAAATACAGGTACGAGATACAGAATACGTCCTTTTTTATATTCTTTATCTTGTATTTAAATACAATTTTTTGGTATTTTAGTATTTTTTAAATACTTTGTTAGCTCGCATACTTTTATTTGCCACCTATCTACAAATTTTTCCGTTACAGTTTTACTAAGCTAAACCAAACGCTCTTATTAATAAAATAATAATAATAAGCCCTTTTATTCTGAATTAACTAAATACATTATTAAACATTTCATAAGATTAGTCTATAAAATATCTCGCAATTCAGAGTGCCTCTTGGCATAGGCCTCCTCTAGCACTTTCCATTGGGTTCTGTCTTGCGCTACCCTTCTCCAGTGGTGTCCAGCTGTTAGCCTCAGGTCATCTGCCCATCTCGCTTGTTGGCGTCCACTATTACGTTTGCCATCCCTGGGGTACCAGTCACAGATAGTCGTACTCCATTTGCCATGCCTGTCTCTAATTATGTGTCCGGCCCATCTCCACTTCATCTGGTCTATTCGAGCGAGAATGTCAGTAACTTTAGTTTTTTCTCTTATTTCACTACTTCTTATTTTGTCCATCCTCCTTGTTCCTGTCATGCTTCTCTCCATGGCCCTTTGACAACGTTCCAGTTTAGCTCTGTGGAGTTTGGTGAGTGCCCATGTTTCACAGCCATAGGTAATGACAGGAAGTATGCAGGTGTTGAAAGCCTTTCTTTTAGTAGACATGTTTAGCTCGTTTGACTTCATAATTTCTTTCAGCGACCAGTAATTTTTCCATCCATTTGCTATTCTTCTATTTATTTCTTTAGTTGTTTGTTCTTCGTGAGAGATTTTTTGTCCTAGGTAGATATATTCCTGTACATATTCTAGTGGTTGGTTGTTCAATTTCTATAGGTGTTACTTTAGAAGTTTGTGAGCAATTTTGTTTTACTCATGTTCATGGACAGGCCCACCTTCCTACTCTTCCTCATTAAGTGATTTTATCATTTCTTGGAGGTGCATCGGATCCTTCTTCAAACAGGATTATATCGTCCGCAAATCTTAGGTGGTTTAGTTTAACACCGTGTATGTTTAGGCCGAAGCCATCCCAGTTCAATTTGCGGAAGATACTTTCTAAAACCGCTGAGAAGAGTTTCGGTGACAGAGGGTCTCTCTGCCTTAGGACCCCTCATGATCTTGAACTTTTTACCTAGGGTTTCTAGTTGTAGTCTAGCTTCGGTGTTTGAGTAAATGTTCTTGATGATTTGAATGTAACTTTGGCGAGACCCCTTGTTGTTCCAGGCTCTCCCATATTGCTTTGTGATAAACACTGTCGAAAGCTTTAGAGTAGTCGATGAATGCCATATATAGGTGTTTATTATATTCGTTGTATTTCTATACTATTTGTTTCACCGTGTGTATATGGTCCAGGGTCGAAAAGATTCGTCTGAAGCCGGCTTGTTCTCGTGGTTGGTTTTCATCGAGCGTTTTGCTTATTCTTTGCAGGATGACTTTGGAATGTAATGTAGTATGGGCAATAGTTCTTCAAGAGTGCCTTTAAGGAGTTCGTTCATAATTTTGTCTGGCCCTGGAGCTTTCTCCATCTTCTGACTATAAATAGCTTTCTCTATTTCGCTAGGTAGTATTTTTGGAAGAATTTCATCGCTGAGGTGGCTTCATCCTTGGTCGTCCCATCGATACAGTTCATTTTCTGGGTTGGAGTACAAATCCTGGTAGAACTTTGTGGCTGTTTCGTTTATGTCCTTTCTGCTTGTAGATACAGGTCTTTTTTTTGTTAAGTTTTGGTATCCATTCTCTTCTCACCTCTCTCAGTTCCCTTAGTGCCTTCTTTATCCCTCCTGTTCTTTGTATGTGTTTTTCTAGTGTTTGTAGCCTCTTATTTTTTAAATCTTTTCTGATGTTTTTTCTAATTTCTTTATTCAAAGCGTTAATTACTTTTAGGTTTTCTTTCCTCGGCATGATTTGCTAAGCAGGATTTTTTCTTTTCTCTGTAAGTTGGAGTGTAGTGTCGGTTAGTTTGTATTTGTTTTCCCTATTGTGCCCAGTTTTAACCAAAGTCAGTTGTTTAACAAGCTTTCCATATTTTATAAGAACATCGGTGTTCCCTTCCGTCCTTGTAATTTCTTCTCTTTTTTTCGCTTGGAGACTTGGCAATTGCTTTCACATTGGTGTCACAATTTTGGTCTGTTTTTTGTCCAGCTATGTACTTCCTATCAGCTTTTGGTGGTTCTATCTTTAGGGAACTTCTGACCATGCGGTGGTTCGTGTGAAAGTTGAATTTTGAGAGTACCGACGTATCCGTAAAGGCTTTCGGATAGTTTGTTGCTATGTAGTCAATCTCGTTTTTGTATCTGCCGTCGGGGGATAACCAGGTCCACTTTTTCTTCTTGTTCTTCTTGTACATACTGTTCAGAAGTGAAAGGTTGTGTTCCAGTAGTAGTTCAA